GAGTATAAATAAAACAAAGCTGCTCTCAAGGCTCACACAAGAACTTGAATCCCATCCTGAAGTTGGCCGCCACTCAGGATGTGACTTCTGATGTTGATGCGCTGGTGAAAGCTAAAAGATGTAAAGTAAAATGAGTCAAATATACTTTAAGTGCTGCATGGAACTGATCTAGCCATGTGATCTGTAAGCTCTTTGAATCACTAAGGAATGTTTTTTTATTTGTTGATTTTTTATTTTTTTTTTTTTTTCAAGTACACTTCAGGTGTTGTACTTGTACTATTTTGGATACACTGTCCTCACGCTCCAGCCTTGTTTTATATTGATTGTATTAAACCAAAGGAAACAATCTGAAGTTGTTTTTAATTTAAAAGGTCCGGCCCACTTGGGACTAGATTTCCCTCGATGTGGCCCCTGAGCTAAAATGAGTTTGACACCCCTGGTGTACAGTTTAAGTACGAACATGTACAATCTGCTTTTTCCTTGTTTTCAGGGTTGGCTGAAGAATCTTCCACCATTTCCTCACAACAAATAAAAAACAAAAGATCATTATTGTCATAACTCCCAACAACACAACATAAGTCTGCTTCTGCAGCACACCGGGAGAATGACTGATTTCTGCTAGAAATCTCAGAACATTTGCTTTAAAAACAGATTTTTTTGTCGTTTGACTTGCAAACTCATGTTGCTGAATCTTACACAGCAAATGTCTTCACCTCTCATGAAGGCCACATGTTGTTCACTCTCACCTCCATGCTTTCAGTTTACAGCCGATCACATGATGGAAAAAGAAAACTAACCAAAACAAAAAAAAACCTCTCTGCTTTGTGGACATAAAACTTCAGAAACCTGATTCAGGTGGCTGGAAAATCCCAGGATTGCTGCAAACGTTTGAGGAGTCTGATTATTGCTTTCACCTGGATTTGACCAACAATAATCTGAAAAAACAAAACAACTGAAATTTACCTAAATTATAATAATATCACAGGAACTTCATGCTCATGCAGTTTGTAGGCACTTTTCTCCCAAAGTGGCCCAAAGAATTAAACTATTTCACACATTTTTGGTCCGCGTGCTGCAGAGTGACCGATCACGCTTCAAAAAGATCAAGTATTATCAGTAAAGTATGCAACATTTTCATATTTTTAAATCATGTTCTAATATGCGCCAAAATGACCCTTTTCTTCACTCAGACCACCACCACCCCCTATAGCCAGAATATTGCACTTGCAACTTCAGAGTGCCGGTCCGGTCCCTGTTGGACTTAGTCAGGTGGAGCTGACATGCCTGGAAATGAAGTCTGCTTCCAGCAGGTTTCCTGCATATTTTATGTCATGAACACATCTGATTTGTTTAATTTAGTGATGAACACTCCTGTAGACACTAATGAAGGCTGAGGAGACATTTCAGCCTTAAGCCTGAGTCATGCTTCTGCGTCAGTGCGGAGACACGCAACGCCATTATCCGTCCTTGTGTGCCTGCAGGTGAGCCCTCGCAAGGACGGACGGAGTCGATTCTCTCTTTTGTGAACATCCGTCCGTCGAGACGGAGAACGCAAGCTTGTGATTGATCAGGGCACCGCTGTCGTCTACAACGCCGCCATTGCGCCCCCAAAAACATAAAGAGAGCCGAGGAATACTAGCGGCAGACACGGAGAAGCTTGAAGAATACCTCGTGAAAAAACTCTAAAAACATGAACGTTTAATTCCCCGTGACTGGAGGAGTGAAAAGATGCGCAGCAAGCGTTTTATTTGTGGACGGAAATGACAGGAAACGTGGGTTTAGAGGTGGCGAGCGCATGAAGCGGTGGAGGAGGATGAGAGACAAATTCATCTGTGTTAAAAAGTCTCTAATATACAAAAAACACACAATATAAACTCACTATCCTGGACCGATACATGACAGGATACCACAGAACAGCGCTACGCCCTCTGGTGTCCTGGCGGGGAATTGCTTTGCAACACTCTCCAGGAGACGGAGAAGCATGAGGACAAAATGTCTCCGTCCATGCGTACCGGTCTCTCCCTGTTGGAGCTGACGCAGAAGCATGACTCAGGCTTAAGGTGTTAAAAAGACGAACGCACAGCGAGGGGAGGAGTTTTACTTTCGGTTTTAAATACCGGACACTAGGGGGTGGTAAAAGCTGCCTAGTGTTCGTTTAATAAGGAGGTTTTCTGCCACCACACTGAAATGTAGCTTTTAATGTGTAGAAGCCATGGGAAGGCGACAATAAACCCGACATGTGTGAAGAAATAAATGGAAACGTTGAAGATAAAATACTCACTGCAGGCTGTTGTACGCATCCAGGCACTCTGGTTTGACGTTGTGAACTTAAAAGGAGACAGACTGATCAGAAATGAACTTTTTTAAAATAAAAAACACAGAAAACCAAATACTTCAACAATGTAATTTCACACCTTGATTCAGCAAAGACGTAGTACAAAGCCAGTTCGCTCATACAAAGTTGTGGGCTACGGCTGATAAAACGTCCCCACTGAAATCTCTACATGGTGTGACGAGCGCCACACAAAAGATCAAAGTCAGGGGAGAACAGTAGACTCCTCCATCCGCGGCGGACGCAGTTATCATTACAGACTTGAAAGAAAAGCAGACAACTTGTTCTGATGTCAGAAAATGTTGCAGAACTGAAACATCAGATGATTAAATCTGGTTGCTGCTCCGACTTCCAGCGTCCTCTGAGGTCACTGAGGTCGGCAGAGGCTGAATCTGATGAGCGTGACTTATTAAACTGCACTTTCTCCCTTACACTTACATCATTATTTAGATTCTAGTTCAAATCCTGCAAACCTACATTGGATTTTATACAAGTTGCTGATCTCCTTCTTTGACAGCAGGTTGGAGTGAGCGTCCTTCCTGGCATCAACTTTGTGCACGAACAAGGACCGGAACCAGCCTTTGTCGCTGCTCTCTGAAAACCTCCTACACACAGCACAAGAAAAGAAAAACAGATGAAAGCAATGAACAAAGACTCAAAGCGAATCCATTAAGCAGAGAAGTTGTCGACACAAGGAGGAAGATGTTTAAAAGGATCGTTGGGATGTGGATGACATACGGGCTGAGAGATAGTCATGCTGATGTTCCTCTGATAGGAGAAACATGCACACTGAGTGAGTGAGTGAGTGAGTGAGTGAGTGAGTGAGTGCAGTAGCGAGGGGCTTCTCCATAAAAACCTCGGTTTTCCCACTCTGGAGCAGATAGTAGGGAAATATGTTTGTTTTTGTTTTTTTTTAAACGTGTAAAAAAACCTAAGAAACTTTCAGAATCAGAACATTGGACACAAAATGTTTCTTAAAGACCAAGTTCACTCGTTCATTCATCACACTGGCAGGTGTCTAGTATGAACGAATGCCTTGTGAGTCGATCTCTGGAGGAAAGAGGCTCTGGTGCTCCTGGCTGGAGTCCTAAAGCTTGGTGGCTCCGGGACGGGTTGGGTCAGGTTGCTGTTTTGTCTGTCCCGATTGTAAAACCGGTCCAGCTGACCCAGACCGCGCCATTCCTGGGCCCTCCTTCTGTTGTAGGTCTGTAACGGAGCGGTACGCTACGGCTAGGGAAGAGCGGCGGCGTCAGAACAACACGGGTAACTGATTGGCGGACAGAAATACGTCACTACTTGTGACGAGCAGTTTCTCAGCGGATGGCAGCCAAAGGATTCGAACGGATGTTATAACAGCTGAAAAAACTAAAAGCACTGGTTTGACGCGACGGAACGCATTTACGTTTACTCCCCGCCTGCAAACTGAGAGTCCAAACTGCGATTGCAACGCTCTCCTGAAACTGCAGACCCATACCGGTCCACACCTGCCTACGATGACCCGCCCCACCCCGACCTGTCCCAAACCCCTACAATGGAACCAAGCTACCATTTCCTGATATTCTGAGATCTCGCTTCTGATTGGCTAACAGCAACACGACTCTACCGCTGACTGTTTGCTCTGCAACGTTGATGTTTCATCTCCACTCTATTAACACCTAAAGCCTAAAGGAGTTCTGCTGTGTGAGGAGTTGCTAATGCTAACGGTTAGCTTCTACTAGTCAGACGTTCTCTGCTCCACACAGCTTTCTCCAGTTGCAAACCACTATGGGTGCATCCATGAATGCTAATGTGACATAGGTGGGATTGGCTGGCTTTTCTAATCCGAGCGTTTCCCCATCTATTTTCTAATGCAGGGAATAGGAGTAGATGACTATTTTCACATTTAGCCTGCATTTTAAATTCAGAGTGGCCGATCAAATTTAAAAAATAACAAAAAAAAATTATATATATATATATATATATATATATATATATATATATATATATATATATATAATAAAGAGAGGCTGCAGAGTGGCGCAGTGGTTAGAGCTGTTGCCTTGCAGCGAGAAGGTCCTGGGATCTTTCTGCATGGAGTTTGCATGTTCTCCCTGTGCATGCGCGGGTTCTCTCCGGGTTCTCCGCCATCCTCCCACAGTCCAAAAACATGACTGTTAGGTTGATTGGTCTGTCTAAATGGTCCTTAGGTGTGCGTGTGTGTGTGATTGTTTGTCCTGTGTGTCTCTGTGTTGCCCTGCGATGGACTGGCTCTCTGTCCAGGGTGTACCCCGCCTGATTGCCTTTTGACCGCTGGAGATGGGCACCAGCCCCCGCCCCCCACCACGCGGCCCCACATGGACAAAACAGGTTCAGACAATGGATGGATGGATATAATAAAGAGAACTGTGATTTAAAGAGCAAGTCACCCCCAAATCAACTTATTTTCCTGATAAACTACATAAATGCGTGTCTAATCGTGCTGCAGATGCGTGTCGTCAATAGTTTGGCACTTTAGTGCATTTTAGTTAAAATTTTAATTTTCTGCCTAAAACTGTCAATGTTGTGCCGTTGTCAGGTAAAACCTCTGCACTGCATTTGAATTTAAATCTGCCACCGCTATTGGCTAAGAGGTACCCTAGAACGTTAGCTGGTACCATATGATGTCACAATGTCGTTGTGAGCCTGTGTGTGTGTGTGTGTATTTGTTAGCAGCTCCTCCTTCTCGGTCTGCTAGGCAACAGCATTTGTTGCATTTTTCAAACAGGAAGTGGGAGTGGAGTAATACTCTGGTAGGGGGTGACTTGCTCTTTAAGCACCATAACTTGGCTTTGATTTAAGGAAAAATGAATCAAACTTCATGTTATGATCTAAAAATAATTAAAGCAAACATTGTTGCTCAAACCAAAAGGATGAGCTTCAGCTGCCTCAACACCTGATGAATGCCGCAGCACCAGAATTAAAATGTTTCCACATTCAGCCAGTCCTGATTCTGACTTTCACTCCTTTTATAAACAGAATTCCTAAATCCTTTTAAAGAGCAAGTCACCCCCTACCAGAGTCTAACTCCACTCCCACTTAATGTTTGAAAAATGCAACAAATGCTGTTGCCTGACAGACCGAGAGGGCGGAGCTGCTAACAAATACACACACACACAGGCTCACGACAGCATTGTGACATCATAATGTACCAGTATACATCATAGCATACTTCTTAGCCAATAGCGGTGGCAGATTTAAATTCAAACACAGTGCAGACTTTTTACCTGACCACGGCACAACACTGCCAGTTTTAGGCAGAATATTTAAAATTTAACTAAGATGCACTAAAGTGCCGAATTATTGACGACACGTGTCTGCAGCACGATTAGACACTCATTTATATAGTTTATCAGCAAAAAAACGTTTATTTAGGGGTGACTTGCTCTTTAAAGTGGCTCCAATTAACCTCAATCTCTGGATTTGCTCAGGATGTTCAGCGTCACGCAGGCAGCGTAAGTGGCGTGCCCCCCCCCCCCCCCCCCCCCCACACACACACCCCCCACCCCTACGGATTAGGGAGCCTTGGTGTGCTATTATGTGCTTTCAGCCATCTGTTCACAAACACTTTTGGAGGCTTTGTGTGTTCTTACGATTCCTGAAACTTTCAAGGTCAGTGAAACTCCTTTTCTTTAATAACATCACGGCCCAGCGGCTTTAATTAGAAACTGTGATTAACCACGAGGCACTTTTGATGATCATTTTTAATAAAAATGTGTAAAGTACGTTTAAAATGTGCTTTTTAACGATGTTAGTGAGCCATGGAAATCAATGCGGATGGAGGCCTGAACATGTTCTGGTGGGGTTTTTACAGTGCAAGGGTCAGAGGTCTGGCAAATGATTAAAGGAGGTTTACTTGTTTTACTCTGGCTTACATAACATTAGAGTCACACACTGATGCGGAGCATCGGGAATTTAAAATGGAAAACTAAATCAGTGAAAACGTGTGAAAAGCGGTCACGACTTACAAGGATTTACACTAAATAATGAAATTATACTAAAAATAACCGTTTAAAAAAAGACCCGTCTGTTAAGGTGGCTTCGGTTAACCGTAAATTCTATTTTTAAATCACTATTTCTTTATTTCCTCATTTACAGCCTGAAATGATTGAATCAAGTCTTTGTAATGTTTGTGATTTTAGGGAAATAATCTGTGATTACAATCTGAACATGCCTGGATTCAAACCTCAACAGCAGCCAGAGGAATCAAAGGATCATTCGCAATTCATCATTTAATTTTAAAATCATTTCCAAGCTAAAGTTTATGCTAGACTTTAGAAAACAACCAGTCTGTGTGTTTTTTTGTTGTTGTTGTTTTGTTTTTTTACTAAGTCCATGTTTACCTGGAGGCTTGGTGCAGGTAGACGGAACACCTGGACAGAACGCGACCAGAACTCCTCACAGAACCAGTCGTCGCCATGTTCTCCAGCAGAATAAACCAGCAGCCGGTTCGACGTGCACTCGTTACCTGCTGGTTAATGTTCACCCGCCACGCTGTTGCGTCATTTGACAGGTAATCATAGGGACAGAGCTGCCGCGCGCGCGACTGATTAAAACGCGCGTGACGGAGTGACGTCACACTACCGTCCACGAGCAGGATCGAGCTGCGCTGATTGGATGGTGGAGTGACGTAGACCATCTAGAACAATCGGTGACTTTTAAACCAGTTCCGATGAATTCAGCTGATTTTTTTAAACTTAAATTTGAATTTAATCCGATAAAAACAGTTTTAGAAGGAAACTTTTGACCATCTCTGTGTAAATTATACATCTAAATACATTTTAACAGTTATAGGAATGGTTTCGTCACTTACCCAAGTCCCTCCAAACCCGAAAGAAAGGTTTTTACTATTCCATTATGTAGATTAGGGTTTTTCCAGGGATTAAACATGTTAATAAAAGTTATTTATATTTAGTCGGGGATCCTTTACTGCCTGAAGCCTGAAACAAACACATCAAAGGTTGCTTCCTCCTTTGAGAAGCTTTGCCTTCAAGCTTTTGCTGCAGCGCTTTTCATTTTTTTCTGTTCTTTATGTTTTGAGTTTTAAAAAGCAAAAAAAAAAAAAAAAATCCACCTTTTTCTGAGTGAGATCAGGTATTTGACTCAGTGCAAAAATAAACAGCCCTTTTTTCCCCTTTGTGAGATTAATTGCTGCTTTTATTTTAATAGATTTTTCTCACAATAAAAAGAAAATAAAATTTTACCAAAACGGATGCATCCAACATGACGTTCTCCTGTGTCTAACGAGTGGCCGGTTTTTGTTCCAACTCCATCCTTCGTACACAACACAGTGCTCTCTGGTCCTCTCCATCATTCCACCCTCTGTCATGTTTATGGGAAGATGTTTTACCCAAGACATGAAAGAATCACTACGGAGACAGGGTAGGTGACAATAGTATAACTTTTAATAAGAATGGTGAGTAAACTAAGGGTGCAGCTCCAAACGGGAACAGGAAGAACCGGAATCTAAAAACAAGAAGCAGATAGATATAAGATAAGCCCGGAACCAGAGAACCAAGGATGTGATTTGTTTTTGGAGGTTATTCTTACGGTTGATGACCAGGACTGGTGAGGATGCACTGAGTCTTTGGGACCAGGTGGGAATGGACAAATGGCAGGAGTTCAGACCCAGGACAAGACTGAGAAGCAGGTTGGGAGGCAGGCAGGACGACAGGCGGACAGTGGAGAGCGGAGGCCAGGGGATCTTCAGTGACATGACGTTGGTAGACAACTCCAGGAGACGGCAGGTTCGTTCTGAGGACAGATGAGCAGGAACTTTCAGGACTCGACAACGGGCAGATCAAGACTGAGACTGGATCAGACAGACAAAAGATTAAAGCTGGAGCAGGCAGGCTAAGACTGTGGCTGGCTAGTAGTTGCCCAAGGTGAGAGTATCAACCGGCACTGGAGTTGTGTCACACCGCTCCTTGAATACCCCCGGCCCTCTGATCAGGGAGCTGGCTCTCCGACACGCCCGCCTGTGAACACAACCCTGAGACGACTGCAGCATATTGATTGTTAGGTATGATCAGCGCAGACCGTGACACCCCCTGGCATTACATAACATCAGATCAGCTCCTATCTAAAGGGAATCACAACCACGACCTGGGTGGAGTGTCCATCTTCAGGGACCATGACTCCCTCCCAGCAACACAGATGCGAGTGATTTCTTTTACGGGTTTATTGAACAGCTTTCCTTCGTTGACCTCTTCTTCTTCTTTGTTAGACCTTTAAAGCAGTAAAAGTAATCACCTGTGTCTGTGTTGCTTGGAGGGAGTCCTAGTGAAACTCGTCGGCTGTTTGCTTAAACAAAAAGGGAATCCATCTCACTTCTCAGTTCTTTAGCAACAGACTGAATGCTTTCAGTCCATTCTCAGGTTGTGTGTTCTTCACACACCTGGTTTGTATCCATCATTAAAGGTGTGGCTGGCAGAGCAGCTCAAATGTAGCCTTTCAAAATAAAAGTCCATGTACAGGAAACACAAAACAACCTTCCTTTTCAACCCAGTGTCTTACATAAGCCCCATTCCCACCTGTACCGGGTCGGCCCGGGCCGGGTAGCGTAGGTTGTTTACATATCTGGGTGGCCTGGAATTTTCCCGGGCCAACCAAGGCTCATTCTCGGCCCTCTTCCCGAGGGGTACTGCTTCAGGCCGACCAGGGCCAACACACCCACTGCTGACAAGAAATTCACACCTTCCATTAGAACAAGCCTCTGATTGGTGGGTAGAGTCAGCCCATTCACACCTTCCATTAGAGCAAGCCTCTGATTGGTGGGTAGAATCAGCCCACATGGGCTTAAGACAGGGATGTGTGGAAACAACCGGGCCAGACTGGGGCCGACTGGGGCTACCCGGCCCGGGCCGACCCGGTACAGATGGGAATGGGGCTAAAGAAAAATAAACTAGGAAATGAACAGCAACAACAGTTGGAGTGACTTTATCAGCAACACTCTGACTCTTGTAGAAAATCGCCCCTGAAGTGCCTTTTCTTCTTTGAGCCGATGGGAATTTAACAGGTTTTAATTATTCCAGTCACATTTTATTCAGGCCAACATTCTTCTCACGGTTCACTAAAAACAGAAAAGAAACTCTTAAAAATGATCTCTGCAGTTTTGCATCCTTTCCATCCTCAGGAGCCTTCGCGGGGCTTTTACAGGACTTCTTGGCTCTTTGCTGGCAGGTAAGTGCAGCAATTACACCTTTCAGGGTTTTACTTTTCTGAGTGTGCCCATTGTGCCCCCATGTTTCACTCTGAGCTCAGGCAAGGCTTCTTTCACTGCTCTACACAAGTCTTCAAACTCCTGGTTGACTGTGATGCCCTAGATGGAAGTGCGACACAGAGGAGAGAGTAAAGGGTTTGTTTTCTGTTAAAAAAAAGACTTTCTAGTGGAGAAATGTGCCACTTACTGAAAAGTCCAGTGTCTCCATGGAAGAATCTGAGTTTTCCTGAACAGACTGAAGGATCCTGAAGCAGCCGGTGGTCAGGATGGGGTTCCTACCAATCTAACCAGAGAGACAAACATCGTAAATATGATATTTCAAAGGAATAAATCATTTTAAGGACTGTTAAACGATGACTCATGTCCTTTCTAACTCTCTGTTTTTTTGTTAGATAAAAGAAATTATGGATGAAAGTTGGCTGAGCTCAACATGTCTTGATGTTTTCGGTCCACGTGTGGAGCTGGAGAAGCTTCACGACTGTGTGGGGTACCAGGATCTGGTCCTAATCAAAGCAAGACCTTTCTCCTGGTGTAGGGCTGCCTTCTAGGGTTCTACAGCGCCCCGAAGGCCCTTGACAACACAGTCATTCACCCACATATTCACATGCTTGTGGTGATGAGCTACAATGGAGCCACAGCTGCCCTGGGCTGCAGCGACAGAAGCAAGGCTGCCGAACACTGGCGCCTCGAGCCCCTCCAACCACCACCAGCAGGCACGCTGGGTTAAGTGTCCTGCCCAAGTGGGGCTTAAACCTGCAACCTTCCAACTATGAGGTGGACACAACTCCTCTGCCACCGTCACCCTACACAGATGACCTTGGTGACCTTCAGAGTGCTCTGGGTCGATTCTCACTCACTTGTATTGGCCCCTTAAACTCCCATTCATTTGTTTTGGCAGTAGAGGAACCATTGACCAGTTGGGTGTGACGTAGGCTCCGTGCAAATTTGTAATAGTGCCATTGTCCAGCCCGACTCCTCCGACTAACGTCTACATCCTGGAACAACCCTGCAAACAGTCAAAGTCGCATGGACAAGCAGATCTTGTCTATACCGTGTCCGTCGATCCAGAACACCTCTAGGTCTTTGCAGAGCGGGAGGAGAAAAGAGCTTTCTTCCACTAAAAAGACTCACAAGGCATTCGTTTATACAACAGCCTGCAGACAATGCATGAAAAACCAAGTAAATGAGACCTTGAAGTGGAGGAGTTCAGGTATCTTTGTGTTTCTGTCACAAAAGATGCGACGTGTAAGACCAAAGTGGTAAACTGGATTTTAGAAACTTCAATTTTGAAGTTAAATAAATGAGCGAGTTTAACAAACATGAAAAAAGGATCATTACAACAAAAAGGAAGGCAGAGCCGTGAGCGGCCAGGCTCCACCTGCTCAGCAAAGGCGCTGATTCTGCCAGTCTTTAGATTTAGGCTTCAGACTTTTCTGTTTGAAAGCTTTTATAAACTCAAGCATCCCTCAACCTTTCTGTAGATGCTGCCATCCCCTCTTGCCAACCGAAAGAGGAATAAAAACTTGAATTCACAGTTTTCTGACTGCTGGAGGATTGAATCTCCTCCAAGGTCATCAAGTGCCTCAAAAGGGAATATTAATTTTCTATTTAAATGGAAAAAATATTCATTTATTTTGCTGGTGCACCAGTTGAAGTATCTTCTTTTAGCTGAATTGAAAGTGTTTTCTATTACTTCTCTGTCTTTTGCTTTTTCTACGTGACCAACGGTGAAAATCCAGCTGCAGAACCCTGAAAGCAGATGCACTGATCTGTTTGTTTATCCTATTTTATCCACTGATGCTCCCCTGTTGCTTGTGACGGTAAAACCAATTGCTTTTCACCAGCTTACATTCAGAAGTTTGATGGTCTTGTTTACTCTGAGGCCCAAGGCAAGGTGGATGGCTCCCTCAGGGGGTATTTGGTTGTTACTGTGGCAAAAAAAAAGAGTTAATGCAAAAGAGAAAGAAGTCGTCTGTTGGAGTGTGATGGAAGTAATCATGAAGTGTGAGTTTTAAAAGCGAGAGTCGCTGAGAATTTGCAAAAAGCACAAAACAAAAAACAGTAAAACAAGAGTGATAGAGTGAGAACGAGATCGCGGATACAAGCAGCCAAAATGAGTTTCCTCCACAGAGCGGCTGGACTCTCGCTTAGAGATAGGGTGAGAAGCTCGGTCATCTGGGAGGGGCTCGGAGTAGACCCGCTGCTCCTCCACATCGAGAGGAGCCAGTTGAGGTGGCTCAGGTGGTGGTCAGGATGCCTCCTGGACGCCTCCCTGGTGAGGTTTTCCGGGCACGTCCAACCGGGAGGAGACCTAAAGGTAGACCCAAGACACGGTGGAGGGACTACGTCTCTCACCTGGCCAGGGAACACCTTGGGATTCCCCCGGAGGAGCTGGCCCAAGTGGCTGGGGAGAGGGAGGTCTGGGCCTCTCGACTTAGGCTGCTGCCCCCGCGACCCGACTCCGGATAAGTAGAACAGTAGAAATGCGTCTGGCTACGTGTGACTCGGTCTAATAAAAGCTGCAAGTCTTGCAGAGCGATCTGAACTTTTACTGGCAGTGGCAGACGGATAAACGTGAATCACTTCTATTCATGAATGAATATTTAGACACAACATTTAAAACCTTTTAACTCTGAGGGCCGTCACACCAGGCCAAAAATGTCTCACCTTCTTTTGGTTCGATTCACCTTTACAAAAAACACAGCAAACCTCCGCGGCAGCATAGCGCCGCAGGCCGGCGTTGCCTCAGACAAGCTTGTTTGGATGAACTTTCACATCCAAACAGATCTGATGTTCCTGTTCATTAATCTTAGCATGCACCGAGTCTAAAACTTTCTCTTACCTCACATTTAGCTCCTCCAACATGTTATTCTCTTTCAGGGCCTGTCCTAAAGCAATGGCTCCTTCTTTACCAAAATAATTACACGACAGATCCACTGTTCTAAGGAAGACGTTTCCCTAAAACACAAGAAAGCAGATGCATTTCATGAATTAAATTCTGAATGAGGTAATGCTGCAGCTGCAAACATTAAAAATGACAAACCATAAATTACTTTTATGAATGTAAAACTAGGAATCATTTCCCCTCTGTGGTTATTTGCATCGGTGCAAACAGGGACAGAAAACAGCTGAGGTGCAGCCTGGAGCATTCCCAGCAGGAATATTATTTCTGTCAGTATACCCATGCAATGAAAAACTAACAATGTTAATAGTTAGAGAATATAGTTTGCATGAACTGCTTTGAAATTGACGAGATTTGATCAATTTTTGGACGGCTGTATCCCACTTTGAAACTAGCCCGAATGCGACAACCTTCGGTGGGGGCCAAACTCTGGTTCCTGAGGGCTCCCATCCAGCATAGAGGTTTTGTCTGCTTCCACACCTGATTTTAACCAGCAGGTGAGTGAAAGGATTCTGCAGAGCTTGATTAGTTGCTAAACAGGCAATTCGACCATTGAATCAGATGTGTTGGAGCAGGGAAAAATACATAACAGATAGGGGTTCTCGAGGACTTCTTCATCAATCCGATCAGGACTAATTTCACTTTTTTCCAACAGAGAATGTTAGAAGGGCCATCTGCAACAGTTAAGATATGACACGTCCCCAACAAACACCCGAGAACCAAAAACACGATTTAAAAAGCAACAACATGCAGACAACTCAAATGAAATGATGAATTGTGATTATTTGAACAGTAACGATCAAACATAAGTTTGCAGAAATTTACCCCGAGGCCATTAGCCAACCTCGCTGCTCCTCTTCCTCGAATGCAGTTCCAGACCAGACACAACGATCTCAGCCCCGTGTTCTCTGACAGACAGTCGCCAAGCGTTCGCCCTCAGGGCAGAAAACAAAATAATGAAAAATGAACAAACTACGGGACTGCATCGTCCAGTCTTGCTGGTTTCAAATTGAATCATTTTGCTCATGATGAAAATGTGTTTGTAGTTAGAAGTCAGAGTCCAGAATCACTCAACTCAAACCTTTTCTCACCGTTAGTCGTTTTTGTGATGTCTGAGCGCAGAGAAACGAAATAAAAGAAGAAGAAAAAGCAGAATTGAATATGTTGAGGAGAATCATTCCTGCACACAAGGGAATAAGACACCCTCCGTTCTCCACACAGACTCATTTTCAATTACCAATATTAGATCTTCAGCCTCCTGCTCGGAGACGGGGCCAATCACAAAACTCATCCATACGATAATTGAAAGAGGTTTTAATGACGGCGTGATGTGTCTGACCTTTGAATGCCACACTCGGCGAATGTCTGCTGTCCTGTGGATACTTGGAGATAAGGCTCCACTATTATGACTAATTCTTTTATGGAAATGGCATTCCATCAATCTAATATTAGTCTAATATTGTCATTTCTGGACTTTTCACAGTAATCGTTTACATTCACGGGTCTCTGTTCTGTATTCAGTTATCACTTACCGAGACAGGAAAGAGTACTATGATCAACGAGTACCCAATATTTGGTCATTTATTTCCTTGCCATTTTTTAAATTTTATTTTGTCAGTGACATCTATAGAAGTCCCTATGCTTGAATACGACTGAGTTTGACTCGTGGAACTAAAAAAGGTGCAACAAAGAACTTTGGGTTTAAAAAGTATTTTTTCCAATCTGCCAACATGCTTTTGTACACGTTTGTGCTAAAAGTACAAAAAACACAGAAAACCTGAAGAATAACTAAATCAGAATCAGAATCAGAAGGTTTTTTTGGCCACATGTGCAAGAATCACAACATTAGGAAATTATTGTGGAGTTAAGGGATACTGAGCAGTTTTGCTTGCTTTTAGCACCCCCTAGTGTCCGTTATTAACTATCTGTGGTTAAAGCAAAAGGGAAACTCCTCACTGTGCATTCGTGTTTTTAACACTTTAATCTAACAGCTTAAGTGTCTCCTCAGCCTCCATTACTTTCTACAGGAGTAGTTCATCACTGAATAAAACAAATCAGCTGTGTTCACAGTCTAAAGCATGCAGGAAACGTGCTGGAAGCAAACCGCAGCGCCAGCTAAGCTACATTTTTTTCTAAGTCCAACAGGTGCCGGCCCAGCACTCTGAAGTTGCAAATACGGTATTCTATCCACAGAGAGAGGCGGGGATCTGAGTGACTTTTCAAAAAATGATTTAAAAATGTGAAAAAGTTGCATAATGTCTCTTTAAATATAAAAAGACTTTTTGATGACAACATAAAAACAACATAGGAGTCAAGAGGATACTCCCTCACTCCACTGCACAGCCCAGAGGAACTTCCTCCGTTAGGCTCTCTAAGAGGGACCAGCAAAGCAAAGACAAAGAGGTGTGGATTTGAATGGGAAGCATGTCAACGCTCCGTGTTCTTGATATGACACAGGAACAGGCGTGGGAGAGAAGGTGTGAACTGTAGGAGCACAAAGTGAGGTAAAACATGGCTTCACCAAAAACTGCACGTAAAGGAGTGGAAACATTTTAGGTCAGAGGTTCTTTTTGACACTGCGCTAATTACTTAACAGCACAAGAAACAACTACCAACGATTTCTACTCATTCATTTTAGACTTTTTACACATGCAACATGTAATTTATGAGTGTTGGAGTTCAGTTATCTGGGGCTGCTAATGGAAAATGGGTGCAAAACTGGGTCAGGGCTGAGATACTTAATATCAGCTAAATTAAAAAGGAGAGTCACGGGAGATGTTTTATGGGTTGAGAGGCTTTGACCCAACAGAAAATACAAGGCTGTGTAGAAATAATTGCTGTGCTTACCTGCATGGTCTCCCAGAGCGTTGTGGCTCAAGTCGAGGTGCTGCAGCGTGCTGTTGGTGACGAGTGCTGGGCCCAGACACTCAGCTGACTGGTCTGTCAGACGGTTTCCTGACAGATGAAGCCTCACCAGAGTGGTGTTTACCTTCAGCATTGCAGAGATGGCTCGGGCGCCAAAATCTCCAAGGTTGTTGTCAGACAGATCCACTTCTAAACATTATTTCGCAGAGACAAGAGGAAAGTGCACATTACATATCCATGGTTTTAAAATATGTAAACTACCATTTCTTTTTGTTTAGTGGATTCGATTGGACAACAAAAGAGTAAAAGAAGAAATAAAAAGATTTATAAGCAGCAGAACAACATTAGCAAAACAGCTCAGTTTTATGATTGAAAAGGATAGAAGATTAAATAAACGTATTCAATGCTACCCAAAAATCTTATAATGAAACTGTTCTCGTCTCAGCTGAAGTATTCATTGGTCATTGGGCTGTTGTATTTGTGTTTAAACAGAAGGGATGCAAAGAAATATTAGAACACAGAAATATTTAGATGTTTTGTGTTTTGATACTGAAGCAATTTTATTTCTTGAGAACTGAAACTTTGAAACATTTACGGTATGTTGTGTGATGCAATTCAAACTCCGACTGCTAGGTGGCAGCAGCTTTCATTCTGGTGGGACAAGATCTTATGCCCCGGGTGTTTCTCAATGCCAAGGAACCTCGCCTTGATGTCTTGGCCCCGCCCCGGTTGCCTAGGAGATACGTCATCGGGAGCCGCCAAGACGTGTTCCAACGTTCATGTTCTACCGAGTCTTATTTTGAAAATTGCTAATAATTAATACTGTTGTACACTGAAACCGTGTGTGACATCCTGTCTAGCCCTATGTTAACTGTGGAAATTGACGTGTCCCAGAAGTGACTCGTGACAAAAATTAAACTCTGTAGTAGTTGGGGTGACAGTGGCACAGGAGTTAAGTGCTCGCCTCATAATCAGAAGGTTGCAGGTTCAAGTCCCACTCAGTCTGTCGTTGTCATTGTGTCCTTGCCTGCTGGTGGTGGTCAGAGAGAGACCGGCGGCACCAGTGGTCGACAGCCTCGCCTCCGTCAGTGCGCCCCCAGGTCAGCTGTGGCTACATCGTAGCTCATCCCCACCAGTGTGTGAATGGGTGAATGACTGATTGTGTTGTAAAGTGCCTTGCGGAGTTCCAGGACTCTAGAAGGCGCTATATCAAATACAGGCCATTTACCATAATCTTTAGCAACGTGGCATTTTCTTATGGAACGCACCAATTTGGACCAACCCATAGATTATAATGGATTTTATTTGAATTAGCAACATTCCGCTACCGTTCCATTTGGTTAGCTTCTACTAGCCGAGAAGTTCTTTGCTGCTTTCTGGAGGCTAAAAAAGCAACAGATTTCCCCGTCGTGAGCCAAGATGGGTGAGTCCATGAATGTTAAGTGACAGTGTGATGTAGATCTGTCAGGCTTTTCTAATCCTGGAGTTCACCGTCTATTTTCTGTCAGAAGCTAATGCAGGAGATAGGGGTAGGAGACTATTTTCATGTTCAGCCCTCATAAAAAACTCAGTGACCCGTTAGAATCATTAAAAATGTTTTTTCAGGGAAGATGACCTTTAACTCATTCGCTGCCAGCGTTTCTCACCGTTTTTACTGTTTTTTAAAGAGTCACAGAACGTTGCGTGCTAGCATGATGTCGATGACAAAACAACCAAAACAAAGCGGGGATTCACCTCTTACATCAGGAAGAATCCGCGTGTTTCAAGCGTTATCCGTTCTTTCATAATCCGTTGTTGAACTGTGATCGGCAGAAGCTTTTCCGGTTCGTGTCTCACTTTTTTTTTTTACAGGAACGGCCCAAAACGATCTCCTAACACATGGATGTTCTGCTTCCTGATCACGTGACGTGTGACATATGCGGATGAAGATCGGCTTCAGAGCTGAGATGTTTGTTCTCTCAGTGTGGGGGCTCGTCCGACGCCCACAGAGTAAAAAAAATGCAAATGATGACTTTAGTCGTCATTAGCAGTGAATGAGTTAAGGGTTTTTTGTGTACATCAACAAAACAGACACTTTCCAATCCTTTCTTTGCAACATTATCAGTCTAATAGGTTTTTATGGACTGGTAATGCAGTTTATGACCAGATCTGAAGAGTAATGGCAGCAAGTTTTCCAGAATAAGAGCCTCCACGGAGGAGAAAGTGTGAGCTGGAGAGGCCAGAACAACCACCTGTAATATGACGATTTTCCTTTAGCATCTTGGCTACAGCAGCTCCGCCCATTCCTTCCATCCAATTATCTTGCAGGTTCAGCCGCCGTATTGAAGTGTTGGTTACCAGGGAAACCGCCAGTGCTTTGGTGCCCTGCAAATACACAACCAACCCCGCTGCCACCCTCAAAGTGAAATTCTTCTGTTTGTTCACTGCAGTACATTTCCTTATTGCTGTTCCAGCTAAAAGAGTGGATGCAGGTGGGCAGAGAGACTCGGAGAGGATTATTATGACCCGTGTGAAACAACTTAAACAGAAGGGAGCAGCGTGGAGGCGGGGGTCAGAAATGAAACTCACTGCATGAAAATTATAGTTTTCAACATGATTTTAAAGAAAGCGGAGTGCATTTATGTCAACATTTATCATTTTAACGTCCCACCCATGGGTCAAAGCACATTACATTCATGAGATGTGGAATTTTAAGGGGTTAATGATGAAATCAGACATTTGTTTGAATGAAACAGAGTATCTCAGTGTGACAGGAAATGGGATTTTGACTAAGTAAACTGTCAGAATCACGACGTTAATAAAGTCAAAATCTTGTGAGAAAATTTCCTCCAAGAGCTTTTTCTTTGCATTGTTCTCCTCTCCACTGTCGCTGCATGCGTGCTCAGTATGAGGACATCTGTACAGACTCTGACACGAGTCTGCGACTCGATGCAACTTGCTGTGTTCCTTCTATAGGAAACTTTTCACTGATTGGCTTAAATACCTGAACCGTGTTGGGACGCGTACTTTGTGAAGTGCCTTAGAACCACTCTTGTGATTTGGCGCTTTGCAAATAAACTGAATTGAATTCTACTTTTTATCGATAGGTGACCTTCAGATGTATTTTAATGTTATTTTCAGAGAAAATAAGAGCTTTTCCAACGCGTAGAAATGCCAACATGACTGCTCATTGAAGTATTTGTTTTAAAATCGTCTCATTCCGCGATGCCGGATATTTAAGACTTTATTTGTTATAATTGTGACGATCATAGCTCACAGCTGAAAACTCAGCATGCAAATCTCAGACAATTAGAATATTGTGAAAAGGTTCAATATTTTAGACTCAGAATGTCATCAACTAATGCATCCAGAACACCTTCAAAAGGTTCCTGAGCCTTTAGATGGTTTCTCAGTCTAAGCTGGATTACTGACATGAATGGAGCATATTCAGATTGTTTCGCCCGTAAATGCTATCCCAGTGGCTTCAGATGAGTGTCTGTGCTTCACTTTTTATTACCATGAAAATGCTGCTTCCTTACATCTTGTTTAAAAAATTCTAATTAAATGTAGCATAAATATGTGTAACAAACCTTATTTTTTTAAGACATCAAACCTGATATTTAACCCCCAAATGCCTGGAGCAGATGTAAAGCCCGTCTTCACTCGAGTTGCTCCCAGTTTAATTCTCTCCAGACTTTCTTATTTTCAGTTCAGCCACCCTACAGGAGAGCAGCACTGAGAAAACAAATCAGTCACAGGGCGTGGGCATGAGCTGCATTATCCTACAGCCTTAGATTATTTTAATCTCATGAAATGATTCTGAAAAGGGTAGAAAGCCTTCTGCGGGTCAGGGATGAGGTCCTGCCCCAAGTGGAGGAGTTTAAGTATCTCGGGGTCTTGTTCACGAGTGAGGGAAAGCTGGAGCGTGAGATCGATAGGCGGATTGGTGCTGCATCTGCAGTAATGCGGGCGTTGTACCGGTCTGTCGTGGTGAAGAGAGAGCTGAGTCAGAAGGTGAAGCTCTCGATTTACCGGTCGATCTACGTTCCTACCCTCACCTATGGTCACGAGCTTTGGGTAGTGACCGAAAGAACGAGATCGCGGATACAAGCGGCCGGAATGAGTTTTCTCCGAAGAGAGGCTGGGCTCTCCCTTAGAGATAGGGTGAGAAGCTCGGTCATTCGGGAGGGGCTTGGAGTAGACCCGCTGCTCCTCCACATCGAGAGGAGCCAGTTGAGGTGGCTCAGGCATCTGGTCAGGATGCCTCCTAGACGCCTCACTGGTGAGGTTTTCCGGGCACGTCCAACCAGGAGGAGACCTAAAGGTAGACCCAGGACACGGTGGAGGGACTATGTCTCTCACCTGGCCAGGGAACGCCTTGGGATTCCCCCGGAGGAGCTGGCCCAAGTGGCTGGGGAGAGGGAAGTCTGGGCCTCTCGACTTAGGCTGCTGCCCCCGCGACCCGACTCCGGATAAGCGGATGAAAATGGATGGATGGATGGATGGATGGATGGATGGATGAAAATGGATGATGAATGGATGAATGGATGGATGGATGGATGGATGATGAATGGATGGATGGATGGATGGATGGATGGATGAAAATGGATGATGAATGGATGAATGGATGATGAATGGATGAATGGATGGATGGATGGATGATGAATGGATGAATGGATGGATGGATGGATGATGAATGGATGAATGGATGGATGGATGGATGGATGGATGGATGGATGGATGATGAATGGATGGGTGGATGGACGGATGGATGGATGGATGAATGGATGAATGGATGATGAATGGATGGATGGATGGATGGATGGATGATGAATGGATGGGTGGATGGATGGGTGGATGATGAATGGATGGATGATGAATGGATGGATGGATGATGAATGGATGAATGGATGGATGAATGGATGGATGGATGGATGGATGGATGGGTGGATGGATGGGTGGATGATGAATGGATGGATGGATGAATGGATGGATGGATGGATGGATGATGAATGGATGGATGATGAATGGATGGATGATGGATAGATGGATGGATGGATGAATGGATGAAAACGTTTTCTGAACAAGTTGAAATAAAATGCAGCGGCACTCAGATGTTGGTTTTATTTCCTGTTTGACTCGGCGTCCCACCGTTTGAGATCAACCCAAGAAGCCTGACCGTTTTCATACCTTAGGGCCAAGCCCACGATGCATCAGGGCCAGCTCGCTGTTCTGAATGTTTTCTAGGAAACGAGAGGCCGGCACCACGTGTAGCTTCTCACAAGCCTTCATGTAGCTCGTCTTTCCTGTCAGATCACACGCTTCATCCTTCTCTGCAAGGTAAATAAAAACACAGGTGTCTGATCTGCACACCGTCAAAAGGAAACAGTTAACATGAGGCCCTCTGACCCAAGAGGAGGACTTCTTAAGTGTGATGTGTTTGATTTTGCTTCGTCAGCAGAACATATTCATCTCTGGTGATGGAGAAGCCTACCCACCACAAAGGCTGGGATTCAAACCAGAGACGTGCAGAACAGGACTTTGCATATGTGGGAGGGAGCATGGAAGGCTTCTGCTTGATTTCTAACCATTTGAAGAATTGTGCAATCAAAATAAGATGGATGCACGTTTTGATTAAAATAAAAAATTCAAACGACCTCGATCAAAAGAAAATATCAAGTGATTTATGATGAAATCTAATGAATGACCGACTTTTAAAAGTAACTCTTCTTAGACTCCACCTCCGAGCTCTGAATCGGTGTCACCGTCCCCATCCAAAGCCAGGGACTCCTCTTCTTCACGTTCCCCTCCTTCCTCCTCATTCTGGTTTTCGCCCCCGTCTGGAGCGCTCCTGTCAGGGCTCGAGAGTTGGTCTTTTGGCCCACGCACATCCACCTCTGTCTGGCTCGATATTTGCTGGATGGAGAAAGTAACACGTCGTGACTCGTTCGAGCTCACTGCTGCTGGCAGCCTGCGTGAGGTGAAATGATGGATTTGCCGCCAGAATAAGACCGATAACCTCCTCTGTGTGCAAACGAGTCCATCGATGTGGATGGATAGTTTTAACGTTAGTTTCTCATCCTCCCACTTCTTTCTGCCAAACTTGAAACTTTTGAACTGAGAACTGTATTTGCTCACGCTACTTATTGTATTATTTAACGTTTTCCCCAACGTTCAGGTTGGTTTTAGGGCGCTGTAGCCAGATTTATCCAGTTTAAATGGAACCATTCATGCTTTGTGTGTGCTGTTCTGTGCATGCTTTGTTTTGCACAGCGTGCTGTTTCTGTGGTGCTCTTCCTACATTAATCACATGCAGCTCTGTGACTTGACCACATAAAAATGTAATTAAAGGAGCTGCAGAGTTCAAAGGTCAAAAGAGCAATGCCTTAAAAACGTTGTTTTTCTTGTATTTCCCTGCCTAGGGCGAGGAAAGTCGAGCCTAAGGTTGTTATGACTTCCATTCTTAAAACCCATTACGCTCGATTGGGTTTATGGCAAGTTTTGAACACACACATCGTGCTCACGTCAAAAACATTTGAAGGTTTAAAGATGCGTAGAGCATCCTAATTGGGTGTTATTTACTTTTTGAGAAAATCTTTGAATTTAAACGTCCGCCTTTTATTTTCAGGTAAATTTTTTAAGTAACTCTCAAACCGAGAGCTGAAGGCATTAACAAGTCACTGGAGGTGAGTGTTTTATTTTTGAAGCGCTTTATTGGAGCTTTAGTCTCGACCATCTTCGCAAAGATGGAATTTTTGTTAACACTTGAGTTTGGGGAACACAAATTAACCATTCATTAGCTGTCAGTTAATATGCATATTAGTGGACCACTAAGTCTGAATTAGTCATTATTAAGCTGTTATTAGGTGCTTATTACCAGCGCTGCAGTTCTGACATTAACAGGCCATAAATGAAGAGTTTCATCATAATAAGACGTTCATAATGGTTTGTTAACTGTAAGTAAACGGTTTGTTGCTGATTAACACAAATACTAATTAGCTCTAATCAATATGTGGCTTTTAAAAAGGTAATTCAAGGGGAATGGTTATTCTGCATTAATAACCAAAAATATTATGTTCTGGTTTTATGTAAATAAACAACAAACTCCATGTTAATAGAACCTAAACAACAATCAATGAACCACTTGTAAACAAGAACATGTTCCCCATTCTAAAGTCAGATTTAGTTCATACCTAATTACTAGTAGTTTAGTATTAATTAACCACTTAAAGGCAAGAATATGTTCCCCTTGAATTACCCCTTTAAAAGCCACATATTGATTTGAGCTAATTAGCATGTGTGTTAATCAGCAACAAACCGTTTACGTTCCGTTAACAAACCATTATGAACGGTTTATTATGATAAAACTCTTCATTCATGGCCTGTTAGGGTTAGAATTACGGCATTAGTAATAAGTGCTTAATAATGACTAGTTCAGACTTAGTAGGCCACTAATATGCATATTAACTGGCAACTAATTAATGATAAATTTGTGTTCCCTAAACTGAAGTGTTAATCAATATCTGAACTTTCAGCCAGTCTGTTTTTATTCGAGCAACACAAACATGTTCAGCTATGATTGAACAAAAGATTTGACAAATGCACTTTTAAAAAAATTAAGTACAACTCCTTTCCTCTTAGCCATGCTCATGACTTTCTCTTATCTTTGGTGGTTTGAAGCTTTCCGTCGTGCATCACTCATTAGTGAGCCGGCCCTCCCACAGCTATTCACACAATAAAGCCAAACTAATAAGGTGGTAAAGTCAGTTTTGTTGGAAAATCTGGATCTTTTTTAATGAATTTTATCTACTGTTTTCCCCCATAATGGTGTAACGGAATGTATGATTCCCTCCAAGCAACACAGACGCAAGTGATTTCTTTTACGGGTTTATTGGACATCCTTTCTTTGTGGACCTCTTCTGTCCTCCTTTCCTTAGACCTCCCTTAAACCGTGAAACTAAATACAGGATAGTACAATTAAAACATATACAATAATGTGCAATAAAATAAAGACAAATAAATACCTCGTTGGCTGTTTTGCTTAAAACACAAAGGGAATCCATCTTCCTTTAAGTCCTTTTACTAGTTAGTTCTTTAGCAGTCCATTAGCTGTCTGCTTGTCAGCACTTCATCCAGGTTCTGTGTGTGTTCCTCACACCTGACTTGTATCCATCAAATCAAGGGTGTGGCTGGCAGAGCAGCTCATGTAGCTTTTCAAAATAAAATTACAGGAAACACAACCAACCCAGTGTCTTACAAATGGGAAAATAAATAAATCAAGAAATAAACAGCAACAGCAGTTACAGAATGAAATGACTGTTTTCCACCTAAAAGTCCCCCCCCCCCCTCCTCCTCAGCAGGAACTAGTCTGCAGGAGATATTGTTCAAGGTCTCATGCATCTGCTTCTAAACTGTTTTCCTTTCCAGCCCAAGAGAAGAATGAAGAAAGGACTCTTCCTTTTTAATAAATCAAAGAACTCCATTTTTAATAAGCTAATCAAAGAGTTAGTGAATAATAAAATGTGAACCAATCTGTGAAATGAAAATATTACTTACTTGATATTATAATCCTATGGAATATAATAAGTAATATGACTTTAAATGTTTCCACTAGAGACTGATCACACGTAGTGTTAAGCCACATGACACATTACTGATCCAATCAGAATCTGCCAGATCTGACGGAGGCGTGGTTTTGGTGGTGTTTGGTAAATCTGTCCCTTTTTGATTCGACCATAAACCAAAACATCCGAAGTATAAAACTATGCCCACGTCATCTTTAATGCCAGTTCAAAGCGTTCCAGAGAAGTTGTTGGAGTGCCAATCCGTAACTTTCCTCTTCAGCCGACAGAACCAACGACAAGCTGGATAAAATCTGTTGCTGTTCCACCTGCTGCAACAGTTCCTTTCAGAATAAAAGCTGAACCATCGCGACCCAGTTTTGGGTCTTGTTAGATGTCGTGACCCGGAAGTATCTCAAGACTGGTCTGGTCGGCAACCGTTGCTTTTCCTACAGGCTTCGGTTCCAGAGAGGGTCAAGCTGGACCTCGACATTCCTGATCTAACGGGGACTTCCTAAAGGGTGCGTAGGCCGGCAGAATGGAGTCTCAATGTGTTTATGAATCTCCAAATCAGAGCTTAGCGCAAAGACATCACCTTCACTCCCATCAGAACTAATCGTTTCTCCGGATCTGCTGGTTCTGAGCAACATCACACCATTCTCCGTCTCACGTCACCTTAGTTACATACATTTAGTGTTAAAGTTAGTCTAGTTTTAATTTGTTTAGTAATAAATCTTTAAACACTTAAAACCTGACTCTCTTTCTGTTGTCTCTCAGTTAATACGAAGTGTTACGTAATCCCTGCAATAAAAAGTTCCAATCTTCTGGTTAAAAGTACCAAAGATCCATAAGATTGATTTCATATTTATTATGGAATTTCATGTCTTATGGCTCATTAAATAACATGTAAATTAAATTCTTACAATGGATATTTATTTGTTCAGCAATTTTATATGATTTCATTATAACTTTAGTTTTTACTTTACTGGTGGTCTCCTTCAGTTAAATTCAGCCTAAAAATATTATTAAAACTCAATTTATCCAAGTGAACGTTTGTAATTGGTCATTTACATAATTTTCTATCCTGTTTATTTAACTGCTGCAAGTTGAATGTTGACCCTGATGAAGACCATGAGCCAGATCCCACCAGTCACTGATTAAAGAAGCTTTGATTGAAACTGACTTATAAAAGCATGAAATACAAACAGGATTGTTGATATTCAGTGATTTTTAAAAAAGAAAACACTTTTACTTTTCTTACAACCAAAGAGACGCCTCCACACAAACGCTGACTCTTCAGGTTTGCAGGTGAGACTGTTTCTCTACGACGTTTTAGTCAAATTTGGTCCAACCGACTGAAACGTGTCTTCTGAGAGGACCACAAGTTTATTTTCCCCCAAAGCTTCACAGACTTAGCCGATGTTCTTCCTCCTACCTCCACTAGCTGCACGTTTTCCCCGGGTTCTTCTTCATCGTCCTCCAGGAGAGAAGGCAGCAGCACCTCTTTGTCCAGCTTCTTCTCATGAACCATGGCTTCATGCCAGCTTTACACACTCATGCATTTATGCAGCTTCCACAAATCTTTGGAATTGTCTTTTTTTTAAATTTATTTTTACTTTAAAATTAGCTGTAAAAATGTATTCAAGGTGCAACCAAACAGAAAACTGGAGCAGAACCAAGTGCACGTTGTGCCCAGGTAGTCTGTAATGAGCCACTTGTCCTCAGTCCTTCAGTCCTTGTGTAAAGTTTAGACGGCTTGTTTTGTTGACTGGTTGCCATGGCACCCCATCATATCTTTTATAGTTTGAATGCCAGCTCTCTGAGCCATGGCAGCCAGGCGCTCCGAGGGCAAAAGGAGGAGGAGAGAGAGAGTAAAGGGCTTGTTTATAGGAAATTCTTCAAAAACTTTAAATCTGCCTTTTAAACTAAAACGCTTAAACAATTCGGTCTGCCCCCCCCCCCCCCCCCCATCTCAAAAACAAAAACAAATCCAAGCAAATGGGTTGACATGTTCTGCAAATGTTTCTCTTTATTGGTCAGTAAATGCAAAGTCCTTGCAGTCGATGCAACAACATGGAGTTTGGTGAATCAAGTGCACAACAAAGGTCATCGTAGCACAGGCTGATTGGATCAGAGTTGTTCGTAGCAGCAGTGATGCACAAACACAGAAAGAAACCACTTCCAGGTGAAACCGACGGCACGGCCCCGCTGGCCGACAGCGCCGCTAAACAAGCGGCGCTTTTTAAATATAAACAGGAAACAGAAACTCATCATGCAACTCTTCACGTCTGCAGCGTACGCCTTATTTTAATCCACTTCCTAATAGTTAAGAGACAGTTTTACATTTTCAAACAAGCATCGCGTCCATTTACATAAAATACATTCTTAGAAAATATTGAAGTGGTGCTCCGTATAGTTTATTCCTTTTCTGTATCTTGTGTCAGGTGTTTTCCTGTTGCACACTTCACACGTTTGACTGCTCTCATCCCAGTTAAACGTTTAAACAAAATTAATGTGTAGAAAGGCGACATTCATTCAGATCGACAGAGGTGGGGAGAAAAAGAATCGCACGTTTGTTTATTTAGAGGTAAAATAGCAGATTTATAAAAAAAAAAGCCACATGTTTATGCTAAATGGACGATAAAAGGAAAAACTATGGCTCCTGCACAAATACTTCTAAAATACACGCCTGATGGATGAAGAAGCAGGTCATAACCATCACGGCTGTGCAGGAGCTTCCTTCCCGCTTAGATTAAAACCTGAAACAATACGTGAACGACTGAGATCACTGCTACTGCACAAGCCGTGTGGGCAGTCACCAGAACACCATCCGTAACATCAAATACAAGCTTGTGTGACTCAGAGTAACAAATTCATGCTTTCTTTAAAAAAATAAAAAATAAAACAAAATCTCAAAAACAGAAAAACGGACAAATGGGAGAATGAACTAAACGCATACCTGAGATCATGCTTGTTCACGCCCACTCGTGCAGAGATGTGCACACCGAGGACGATTTCTAGGGCACACGTTTGCATCCACACACACATGCATGCTGATGCCACTAGGCAGTTTACAGTGAAAACGTGTCGTTTAAGCCACAAGGTAGCACAAAACATGCAGAGACAACAGCGAGAAGTCATGTACCAAATGTTGGCAACGAGTTAATGTAAGGCAAGAGGCAGATGAGTTAAGATGCTGCAAATGCTCATTTTAAAAAGCTCATTTGCTGATGAATGTACACGCTGACAGCTGTCGGAAATGAGCATCATTTGCTTTCCTTAATGTTCCGCTGTGAGATGTTTCATATTTAAGGAAATGGCACGGAGGGAAAATACTTACTGACTTTCTGAGAAAGGAGGAGGAAACATAATGCTACAGCCAGGAAGCAATTAGCGTAGCTTAGCCGAAAGACTGAAAACATGAACTGGCACTGTGGAAAGGTGGTAAATTCCTCTTAAAAGCACATTTAAAGATCATTATGTAACATTATGTATTCTGATTCTGTACAAAAGCTGAGGCGGAAAAATAAATTGCCAATTTTATGAGGCTAGGTAGCAGGTTTGGTTATAAATAAGGAATCGGGACGTGCTGCTTACTTCGCTGAATCACTTTTAGTATCGAGGACTGACTTCATGCGTTTGAATAGAGCGACGGTCCATCCCATAATCACCCACAAATAACCAGTCGTCTCTTCAGCGATGATTTAAATAATATGGAGGATTAAGGTGGCAGAGTTTGTTGAAAATGTTGTAATTTTGACAGCAGAGACAAATCCACTGTGTATTTGAAGAAACCTTTAAAGACAAGTTCACTGAAAAATAATTTTTACTAGTTATTTTTGAAATATAATCCATCATTCAAAGTTTAACCCCATTTTCCGCACTAGTCACCGATAGAAAATTGACAAGAAATGCTCAGATTAGAAAAGCCAGGCAATGCCACGTCACATTGAAAAAGAACATTTAAGGACTCGACCAGCTTGCCTTGTGACGGGGAAGGCTGTTGGTGTCGCATCCAGGAGAGAGCAGAGCGCGTTTCGACTAGTAGAAGCTAACCGTTAGCGTTAGCAACTTCACCACACAGGAGAACTCCTCCAGGCTTGTGATGTTTGTGGCGCTAAAACAACGTTGCAGAGCAAATGAGTCATGCAGCTGTTAGCCAATAAGAGGCGAGATGTCTGAACATCAGGAAATAAAACTCCAAATCCAAACGTCTGAAACTCAACTCTGATCTGGCTCACTTCTAGTTCCTGAAAACAAGGCATTCATTTATATCAGACCACTGCAAACGTGTTTAACCCTCCCACTGTCGCTATGGGTAACCTCGTGAGGAAAGTTGACCATTGAGCAGGATGGGGTCACCCATGAAGACAGTGGGAGGGTTAAGAAATGAATGAACTTGGTTTTTAACTTTCCAGGAGTTTAATGAAGTTCTTTTTTAACGTTTTGTTGGCTCTTGCTGGAGTCAAAGTTGGTAAAGTGGAGCTCAAGTCCCAATCATATAACTGAGTGGCGATTGTTAAAGGCATTCACAAGGAGTATCCAAAAGTGTCTGAAAACATTTGTGGGTGTTTATAAGTTGCTCTTGTGTTGCTGTCATTATGAAAATCTGTTTTACTTCTATTTATTTATTTATTTTTCAAAGTAGTCACAAAGTTGTTGCAGACTTTGGAACTGGTCTCAAACTATTTTCAGTGAAGTTTCCACGAGTCTCAATGTGGTAAACTGCAAAAGAGGCGATGCTGTTGAATGGGATGATTCAGGTTCACTTTTATATAAGTTGAGACAAAAGAACTCGCAGAACTGTTTAGCGGTTTGTTTAGAACAACATCAAATGCTCTGTGTGAACTTTGTCCCAATTTAGTGAAGCTCCAAATGACACTTTGTGCATCTTCTTGACATTTTGAGTTCCCAAACTAGTCGCCAGCAGTCACAAATCAGTGCGACATCAGCCAAAGCCCCATTCACACGGCAGGATCTAGTCGGCTCATGTTCAAAACGTGAGACCGCACACACGGTGATTAAAAATGATATATTCACCATATTTATAATAAACCATTTGAGGTCATAGTTCGTGGAGTGCAGCAGTTCGACAGACACTACACACTTTTACTCATGGACATTCTCTGGTCAGATGGTAAATCTCATGATAAAACATGACTTTGAGGTAAACAAACATGTCGGAGGAGTGTGCTGCACACTTTCATCAATTTGCTTTCTGATTGGCTAGACCACTCATTCAACAGGCAGCACGTTTGTTTGTTGCCAAAAAAGACAATCCAACAAGTTTGGAATCCCAGATTTTTGATCAGAGCATCTAGACACCCTTCCGAGTGGACCGGAGCAATCATAACACACCACACATGGTAGGATTATCTGATAAGATTATGCTTAGAGCTGTTATGGCAACCGTGCATAAAATTGTTGGAAGGAGTGGGGCTGGTCAAAAATTGGCACGGTTATCCTCCGTGTGAAGCAGGCTTTGAAGGTTACTCTCTTCAGTTTTTTTAAAGAAACTTTTAACGTTTTCCTGAAACAGTCATTCTTCCTAAACCTAACCAAGAAGCGTTTTCACCAAAAAGAAAACAGAAGAAGAAGTAAAGTCAGTCGAGTTTTGGACGTAAAGACCCCTTAGATTAAATAAAAGAAGCTAAATCCCTTAATCCCACTCAAACTACTTTCCTCTGCCAGTATTGCATAAATCAATTTTAGAAACCCTGAAAAAAAAGAAGCAAACTGATAAAAACCTTTAAATCACATTTAAGTGACTCTTGTTTCAGTGGCAGCAGAGACACAGAAACCCACCACGTTGTGACTGAACGCCCGGGCTGCTGAAGAGCACTCACACTGATGCTTTCTGATGGATTGCCAGTGGCGAGCTAGTTAACGCGTTTATGGAGGCTGTGACAGAACTGCCATTTTCACAATTCAGGGCGACTTCACGCTAAATTTGTTAGCAGAACCTTTGTTGTTTTTTCTGTCTACATGCCTGTACATCTTCCAGTTCACCTAAAGCCTTGATTCGTTATTTAAAAAATAAAAGCCCAAATACATTTTACTGCTCCGTGTATGCTCCCAACATGTAAAGTTAATCCATTTAATACAGAAATGTACGTTTTTCATCAATGCCACACATTTCCTTGCAAATATATAACCTCAATAAGGATTTTTTAGCCATAACAATAACACAGAGTATATTATGAGTTTTGATTATATTCTTGTCTTTGTCATGCATTCACAATGAGGCGGGTCATTACACTAGGTGCACACATTATGAATCATCAGTTTGTCAATTTTGGAAGTATCATCGACAAGCAAAACAAAATATCAGAACGAAACGTTTCCAACTTGCTACAGACAAAGTTGCAGAGCCCAACAGAAACATTAAGTTGTGTAGAAAAACAAACTTTTTTTTACAGTACAAAAATTGGCACAGTATTCTTAAACCAGCATTGCTGCGTCCCTCAGACCGGTTGTTTCAGAGAGCCCTCGATTCATCGGCCTACGAGCAGAAAACCCTGAGAGGGGAAAGACAAACGGAGACACAGAGACATAAAAACAGAGATGTTACAGTCGTTACTCATCCAGCGAGCGAGCACAGGCTTTGATGGCCAAATGTAAAATTCAAGTGACAATCCACACAGGAACCATCGTCTGTGATGCATTCTGTTGGTACTTAATGAGCCGCAGCGGTGATGTAGGGCTCTTATTTTGCTCTCACGGCTCCAAGTGCACCATCTTGAATGTGCACAAATAGCGTCAAAAACAAAAACCTAAATGGAACACAACCATTCGCTTTCGCTCTAATCCTGTTAGTTCAAAGGCCTTGCTCTACATCGGTTGCCATGGTTACGCTCCCTGTTTTCATCGTGAAGTGGGGGAGATGACACTCGCTAAACAACTACAAGTTGCACATTGAAGTTGACATGCAAACACGGCTCAGACAGAGCAGCGAGGATGGTCTCACGTCCGAGACGCTTCCTAGCGGATTCATCCGTGATGTCTTTTCCAAACCTTTGTTTCTATTTGAAAGGAAATGTCAGAGGGAAAAGTTGAAGAACTTAAAGAGCAAGTCACCCCCTACCAGAGTATTACTCCACTCCTACTTCCTGTTTGGAAAATGCAACAAATGCTGTTGCCTGGCTGTGCAGTAGCGCAGTGGTTAGAGCTGTTGCCTTGTAGCAAGAAGGTCCTGGGTTCGCTTCCCGGCCTGGGATCTTTCTGCATGGAGTTAGCATGTCCTCCCTGTGCATGCGTGGGTTCTCTCCGGGTTCTCCGGCTTCCTCCCACAGTCCAAAAACATGACTGTTAGGTTGATTGGTCTGTCTAAATGGTCCTTAGGTGTGTGTGTGCGCGTGCGTGCGTGATTGTTTGTCCTGTGTGTCTCTGTGTTGCCCTGCGATGGACTGGCTCTCTGTCCAGGGTGTACCCCGCCTGATTGCCCGTTGCCCAGACTGGATGGATGCTGTTGCCTAGCAGACCGAGAGGGCGGAGCCGCTAACAAATGCACACACACACACAGGCTCACAACGACATTGTGACATCATATGGTACCAGCTAACGTTCTAGGGTACCTCTTAGCCAATAGCGATGGCAGATTTAAATGCAGTGCAGTTTTTACCTGACAACGGCACAACACTGACAGTTTTAGGCAGAAAGTTTAAATTTGAACTAAAATGCACTGAAGTGTAAAACTATTGACTACACGTGTCTGCAGCACGATTAGACACACATTTTTGGAGTTTATCAGGGAAAAAAGTTGATTTGTGGGTGACTTGCTCTTTAACCCCGATGCTAACAGGGAAAAGAAGCTCTATTCACCAATACATTTGTAACTTTGGAAGAGTTTGTTTTAGCGTGAGCATTGATTGCATTCAATGCAAAAAGGGCTTCCTTGGCTGGAGTTTCAGACAATAAAAGGACAAGTCTGTGGAACTTCATCTGTTCAGCAGCCAGAATCAATCAGTCTAGAAATAGTGAGTAATCTCTTGCCAGATCATTCTGGGGGAAAAAAAATACACAAAGTTGTGGAAAAGCCTGATTTTCTTCCATTTCTTGCTTCAAATTTGCTGAAAAAATGTTGTAGCGTCAAGAATGTCCTGTTTTTGACCTAAAGGTCATGCTCTGCTGCGTCTGCTCGAGCAGAGACATAAAGTCTCTGACAGCCTAATCTACATGAGAGAGTGGCCAAGGTCTTTCATGCACTCTGCTCATCTGAACTGCTTCACCTCTGTTACAGCTCAAGACAAGATGAAGAACTCTCTTGATGAGCACATAATCAACAACGTTTGTTAATACCAATAATAATGTGAGCCCAATGTTCAATCAGTCTGTGAAATGACAATGTTATTACTTGATATTATAATCCTGTGATCAGTAGTATTTTACAAGTTATTATAATCCTGGACATTTGCACCAGACACGTGATGACACAGAGTAATGCTAAAGTCACATGACACACTTCCTTTTGTCTGATCCAATCAGAACCTTCATTTCTGGCTAGGCGTGGTTATCTGTGGTGTTTGTATAAACCCTCTTTTTCATGTCAAATTCTGATTCGCCAGTAAACCAAAATATGACAATTACAGAAACTGTCCCACGCCACCTTTTCTTTAGTTCAAGCGTTCTAGAGAAGTCTCGGACCGGCCATCCGGACTTCCTCTTCAGCCATAAAGAACCTCGACAAGCTGGATAAAATCTGTTGCAAGTTACACCTGACCGCAACGGTTCCTTCAGAATAAAAGCTGAACCTCACGACCCCTTCAGGGTCTCGCTGACGCCAATAATAACCTGTCGTGACCTGGAAGCATTCCAAGACTAGGCTGGTCGGCGCCGCTGCTTTTTTACCGGCTTCGGTACCAAGGAGGGTCCAAGAGGACCTCGACATTCTGGATCTAACGGAGGCTTCCCCTGGGGTACGTAGACCGACAAATGGCGTTTCATGTGTGTTATAAATCTCAGACTAAAGTTTAGAGCGAAACATTCACTCCCACTCAGAACTTACTGCTTCTCCGGATACGAGGTTCTGATAACAACGTTCCACACACACACCATCATCATTCATCACGTCTCACTCCACCTTCATCCATCAGTACACAGAGTGTTTAAGTTAGTCTTGTTTAAATTGTGTAGAAATACATTTCTTTACTCGTTCACTGCCAATGACGACTAAAGTCATCAGTTGCATTTTTTTTACTGTGTGGGTGTCGGACGAGCCCCCGCACCGTGAGAACAAACATCACAGATCTAAAGCCGATCTTCATCTGCACACCTCACACGTCACGTGATCAGGAAGCAGAACATCCATGTGTTAGGAGATCGTTTTGGGCCGCTGCTGTAAAAAAAAAGTGAGGCGCGAACCGGAAAAGCTTCTGCCGATCACAATTCAACAACGGATTATGAAAGAACGGATTATGCTTGAAACGCGCGGATTCTTCCTGCTGTTAGAGGTAAGTCTCCTCTTTGTTTTGGTTGTTTTGGCGTCGACATCATCCTAGCGCATAATGTTCTGTGACTCTTAAAAAAACAGTAAAAACGGTGAGAAACGCTGGCAGCGAATGAGTTAACTATTTTAAACCTGACTCTCTCTCTTTCCTCTGGGTTAATACGAAGTGTCGCGTAATCCCTGCAATAAAAAGTTCTGATCTTCTGGTGAAAATAGTCAAAAATCCATCAGATTGATATTTCATATTTCTATGGAATCTCACATTTTCTGGTTCATAAGTAAGATGTAAAGGACCCGTCGTTACAATGTTGCGATAAAACTTATTTTGTATGCTTCTTAGAACTCAAATGATCCTAAAGAACACTGAAATCATCCCCATGGCAACTTTTGTTTGGCCAACTAAATAATTATGTTTGATTTACATTTTATGTCATGCTAATATGATTTTATGTGAGATTGCTGAAAACTGAATCCACTTACTCGTCTGAGTCTTTTTTGTTCTCCTCAATGTAGGCGATGGATTCTGAGCGAATCCGATTGGTGACCTCATAGGTGCGCAGAGTGACGCCGAAAATGTCCTCGTGGTAGCGGTTCTCATCCTGGTGAAAACGAAGACGTGCCGGCAGAAACACGTTAACGAGAGAATGAAAGAATGCTTGGAAAGTGACTGAATGAGGTTTATTTTGTAAGATTTCTAGTTGTTTTTCAGTCCTTTATGTGCCTTCTAGTTCCCAACGTGTGCAAAATGAGTTTTGCACAAATCAAAGTCCTGGCTCACCCGAAGTTTGCTGACGTAGAAGCCAGCATCCTCTAGACTCATGTTGCCCTGCTGCTTGATGATTTGCTGGACAGTCTTGAGGACATCTCCAGCCATTGTGACGTCCCCACACACATAGATGTGTCCACCTTCCCTCCTCAGGCACTGGAACACCTTCTCTGACAGATGCTCACGCAGAATATCTTGTACGTATTTCTGATACAGACACAAAGACGGAGGTCAGTGGCAACAGAAGAACGGAACAATGCAAAATTTTAAATTGCCATGACACAAGACTGAAATAAAAAGCCGTAAGCAGACTAGCGATCGGTGACTGGTAGTCAATGCTTGCACCTTTGGTTTGCCAGGTTCTCTGGAATAAGCCGCGTAGAGCTCAGTGAACACGTCTTTGTTCTTGGCCTGGATCGTCTCTTCTTTGTAGATGTGGTCCATCTCAGACTGCCGACAGCCGAACACCAGGATCATGGGACCTGACTTCATCCCTTACAAATAACACGCGGCATTACTTTACTACTTACAGGGATGTAAAAGTGGTGATCTGCAGGACTTTTAACAGTCTGGTTTAAAGAACATTGGAAGTCCTGCAATGAATCACCAAACTGAGGATTAAAGCTGGAGGTCTGCATGCAAAATTAGCCTATCTCTGTAATTCAGACATATTTGTGATGGATAAAATATTTCAGATGTCCAACCATTTTGCTCGAGGTCAAACAGTCTGTGTTGCCAGAAGCTTCTGAAAGGGGCGATGCCTGTTCCCGGTCCCACCAGGATACAAGGAGCTCGGCTGTCTTTGGGAAGTTGGAATGATGGTGCACTAAAATATGAAAGACAAATAAAATATTATTTATCTCGTTCTTTCAACACATCTGTAGTGGTCTCTAGTGTGAATGGACGCCTTGTGAGTGGACCTCTGAAGAAAAACAGCTCTGGTTCTCCTGTTTCAGGAGCTAGAAGTTAGTTTAAGCAGAGGTTAGCTTCAGACGGCAGGATTTAGAGTCCTCTTTCCTGATACTCGGACATCTCAACTCTGATTGGCTGACTGCAATGCGGCTCTACCACTGACTGTTTTCTCTGCAACGTTGACGTTTTATCTCCATAAATAACACAAGCCTGGAGGAGTTTCTGCTGTGTGGTGGAGTTGATAATGCTAACAGTTAGCTTCTCCTAACTGAGACGTGCTCTGCGGTTTCCTGGATGCTAAACCAACAACAACCTTCCCCATCATGAGCCAAGCTGGGCAAGTCGATAAATGCTCATTTTCAGCTTGACGTTTATTTGACAGACTTTTCTAATCCACGCGTTTCCCCGTCCATTTTCTATCAGCGGATCATGAAGGAAACTGTTTTCACTTTAACCTGCATGTGGAACATAGAATGAATAATCATTAAAAAAAAATAACAAGTAAAAAAAAAGATTTCTTAATGAACTTGGCCTTTAATGACCTCAGTAGATTAGCATCTTACATAAGTTGCATGAACGATCACTGCTAGGGTTTCCAGGCAAGATCGCTCCAGGTCCTGCTTCCTCACAGGGATGCCACTTTTCAGTATTTGTGGAGTTTTAAAGACAAGTCAGCATAGTTTTTAGTCTTTTAGGGTGCGTTCACTGTTTCAAACCCCAAACCTTCGTCTGACACTGTGTTTCTATGCAACGATGGCTTGCCTGTGACATATTCAGTAAATCAGGAAGGGAACAAGCCTCCGGGACACTTTGCTTGTTAAGTGGATCTGCTAAATACACGGAACGTCCTCGTTTCTCTCACCTGCGGACAAAACACGACACCATCTCTCCTTTTTCTACCCTGTTGAGCCACGATGAACACACCCCATGGTGAGTAGGTCCTTCTCCACCTGAAAGAGATGATTTACAAGCAATTGCTTCATCTGTTTTCTTTTATTTCCCCCTTAATCCTGGAAAGAGTGGGCCTAACACACCTACAAAGCTAAAGCCGTGCCTCTATTTCCCCTATCGGGAGGAAAATTACTGTGAAACAGCCTCTTCTTACATAATCAGACAAATGTTCACAGGAAGAAATGTTGGAGGGAATGACGGGGTAGACACTGCAGCAGCTCAAGACATGTTAAAAAACCTGAGATTACCAATGATGGGGGGAAGAAAATTAACATGACGTTTCATTATCCATATAGTCAAAAGTATGAGTTTAACACAAGTGTTTGATCCAGTCATCTGTGTATTTATATCTAAGAGAATATTTAAGGAAAAATTAATCTGACAGCATTCCCAAGTCAACGTTTCTTGTCAGAAGCTGATCCGGAAAGCAGGCGCGCTTTTCGAGGTGACTTTCAATCCTCTTTCTTTGAGCAACTCGATGCTCTCCAGAAAGGCTGATTCGTCTGACTTTGACTCGCAGCAGAAGCTGTGAAGTAGTCGAAGCTCGGCGGCGTGAATCCATGAACCCGACTGAACTTCGGTTGAATTTAAACACAGGAGATGCACTTTTGGCAAAGAAATTACAGGCTGCCATCATTTTGAAACTTCTGAGTTGGACTCATAAGCAAATAAAAATGTTAAAAATAAAAGTAAACTTAGCAGGAAGGTGAAAAAAAAGCCACATGAAATTTTTAAAGCAAATAACAGTTCAACAGAGATAAAGGTGGAGGTTTCCGGTAGGATCTGACCTCTGGTACGGTAGGAGACCACCGCCACTGTGAGGTGGATCTCCCCTGAGTACAGGTCAGGAGAGGAGCTGATGGAGTAGTAGCGAGCCTGCAGCAGGGGCAGCTGGGTGAGCAGCAGAGTGGAGGGCATCTGGATGGAAGGAAACTCCTCCAGCACCTCCACAAGCGTGGGATTGTTGTACCATTTCCACTCCTCGTACTCCTGCAAGCCCTGAGACAAAAGAGGAAGCAGATGAGCGGCTACGTTTCGGAGCCATCATTCCTGCTTTGTTCCATCTAAAGTGACAGAAAGACAAGACGAGATCTGACTCTTCCTAGATCAGTCGACACTCCTGACTTGGAGAGCAGGAGGCGGCCACAAGCAGAGCATTCACCGTTCAATGCCAAACCCTTTAGTGTGTCATCGCTGACGTTTGGGTGGGATGAATTACAAACCCCGCCACCAGGCTTGGAAAAATACCCCCGGAAACTCTGCTTTGTTCGTGGGCCGTTGATGAGCAACACGATACTCGTGCGTTGACTTCATTCTGTCCCCAAAACACAGCTAGAAGCAGCTGAAACATAATTAGCAGGAAACGAAGAGCAGAAGGACTTTGAGGCCTGTGATTTCCAGCCTTGGAGAACAGATGAACCTTGCAGAAACAAAGACTCCCTCCTATGTGTTTCTGCTCTCTGATGCTCGGCTGTAGTCTTTAAACAAATGTCTCTGCTGTGCCGCTTGTTTGCTGTAATATTTCATGTTTTCTCATTTCCAGCTTTTCTTCTTGCTTTAGTGACTCCAGGTGTGAGTCACCGTTTGGCTTCATCAAGACTTTTCCACACACTGACAAAAATGGAGACTGAATAGTGAGAGGCATAGCAAAGCGTAATGACGCCGGGTTAGAGCAATCAGCCGCTTTAATTTGGCGCCAGCTGACTCCTACTGTATGGATTTCCAACCATGCACCAAATCAGAGAATAAAAACGTCTCCCTCGTTTATCGTTGATGCTTAAAAACATGTTAAATGTATTTAAATCACTTTGCGTTTAAAAACACTCTTTAAAAAGCAAATGAATCCCACACATGCATGGCTGTCAGTTGGGATTCAGAGTACGTTATAAGGACTGACGTACAACTGTGGACACTAAGCGATCAATGCAACAGCTCAATAGATGCTGGTTTTCATTGCAGCACTGACAGCTGAGTGCATTTACCTTACTGAGGATCTCTAGTTTCTTTTTCTGTTGCTCATCGGTTGCCAGAGCAGCAAACTGCTGCAGCAGCACCGGAGTCGGCGGAGTGGTGATGTCCAGGAAGAATTGGAAAGCTTGGTAAATAGTGCAAGGAGGAATACGAGTCTCCTGAGTCCAGTTACTGATCACGCCTGCAGACAAGAAAGAGGGAAAAGCCGCTCAATTCACACCAGCTGATTCAGTTCCGATTCTTTCAACCCTTTTAGCTTCGTTCTCGGTTTTTATTCATATTTAAAGGTCTTATCGGAGCTGTTTCTTCGTTTAGGTCATTTACTGTTAAATTTACTTTCTTGGGAAGCAGTTCTGGACTTGGTCAGATACACAAGAAAGCTTACAATATCTTTACTTTTCTCTTCGCATCCCTGTCAGATCAGTCTGCCTCCAAGAATTCAATTCATGTAACATGAGTTTCTGAGTTGAAACAGCTGTCACATTAGCTGAGCACAGATTTGCAAAATGCCAGCTGCAGCCTGAAATCCACATAACCCACCCTCACCATGAAACGTGTCATTCATTCGATGTTCCACTGCAAGACGGTTGCATTTTAAATGGTAAATGGCCTGTATTTGATATAGCGCCTTCTAGAGTTCTTGAAACCCCCAAGGCGCTTTACAACACATTCAGTCATTCACCCATTCACACACACATTCACACACTGGTGATGATGAGCTACGATGTAGCCACAGCTGCCCTGGGGCGCACTGACAGAGGCGAGGCTGCCGAGCACCGGCGCCACCGGTCCCTCCGACCACCACCAGCAGGCAAGGTGGGTTAAGTGTCTTGCCCAAGGACACAACGACAGCGACAGACTGAGCGGGGCTCAAACCTGCAACCTTCCGATTACGGGGCGAGCACTTAACTCCTGTGCCACCGTCATAAAATAAAGGCCTAAAACATGTGCAATGAGCCTGTTTTTAGTCATTTTTCTGATGAGGTGAAGCTCATGTCCTACAGACCTGGTCCGGGCTGACCGGTGTGTTGCCATGTAAACATCAGGGACCTCTGACATAGTTGACTGAAATAACTGAAATATTTAACAAAAACATCAAGGAAAGGGAACGGGAGATTCCAAAGGGCATTGGTTTACTTAGTTACAAGCACAAATGGTTCATCTTTAAGATGTTGGTAAAAGTTGCCAAACTGGACGTACTTGAGTGCCACAAGAATTAGTCCCACTCATTCTTTAACAATAATATGAAAATGATGTTTACTTTTCTGCATATTTAGAACTTCTGAACACAAAACACGTGTCAGTGGACCAAAATGATCATATTTCAAAATTGCAGTTGAGGGCAACTCTAAGGGAACTGCAGACCTCGAGCACCAGGCTCTCCAGAAACTATCCAGCACCTCACAGCTGAGACAGGAAAGGCTGATGTACAAAAGCATCTGTGGTGGTGGAGATCATGTGTCATCCACGTTCCAACAAGCAGCAGAGGACAGCCGCTGTGATCGATGTGGCCGTCCCAAATGATGGAGACATCAGGAAAAATGAACACGAGGAACTGGAGGAATGCCAACAGCTCGGGGAACAGCTAGAAGGAACCTGGAAGACGTAGGCTACTGCCACCGATCATCGGAGCTCTCATGGATGTGACTTCCACACCGGAGAAGTGGATCCAACAAATATCTGGTTAAACATCTGACACCTCAGCCCAGAAGAGCACAGCTCTGGGACCAGCTAGGCTGTATAACCCAAAGCTCCCAGATCTCTGGTGGAAGACCCGAGCCAGAGATGAAGAGCCATGTTGGATAGGGTCATGTTGGATGGCTGTTCATCCGAGTCACAGCCTCTACGTTGGGGTGTCCCACAAGGTTCAATTCTCGGCCCGTTACTGTTCAACCTCTATATACTGCCCTTAGGAGCCGTTTTCAGAAAGCACGCTGTCTCATGCCATCTTTACGCTGACGACTGTCAAATCTATTTTTCATTTAAGCCAACTCAATCAACGAAAGTTCTGTCTGATTGCATCCTTGAGGTCAAGCAATGACTAGCTGACAACTTCCTCCATCTTAATGACTCCAAAACTGACTTAATCGTTTTCAGTCCTAACAGTACCACGGCGACTCATCAACCTGACCTCAACTATCTCTCACCTAATGTATCCTCTGTAATCTCCAACCTTGGAGTAAAAATGGACCAGGCTCTGAAGATGGATGCCCAGGTCAATAACACAGTTAAATCATGTTTTTACCAACTAAGACGCATCTCGAAACTAAAGCACATCCTGAGTGTCGGTCTTCTGAAATCGGTGGTCCACACTTTCATCACCTCAAGGCTGGATTACTCTAACTCCTGCTTATACGGCATCAGTAAAGCAGCTCTCTCTAGACTTCAGCTGGTCCAGAATTCAGCAGCTAGGTTGCTGACTGGAGCTGACAGAAGACAACACATTTCTCCAATTCTGAAATCTCTCCACTGGTTGCCCGTGCAGTTCAGGATAAACTTCAAAATTATGCTTCTCACTTACAAATCCTTGAACCATCAAGCTCCTCCATATCTGTGTGAACTTGTCCATTACTACAACCCGCCGCGTGCTCTCAGGTCTGAAGATAAGCTCCTCCTAGCTGTTCCCAATGCACGTTTAAAAAGCTGTGGAGAGAGGGCTTTCTCTGTCTGTGCACCCAAGCTGTGGAACGCATTACCACTGCTAGTGAGGCAAGCACCAACAGCTAGCATTTTTAAATCACGCCTGAAAACTCACTACTTCAACCTAGCTTATACAACATAATTATGAACCTCACTGACATCTGCACTGTTAAAAAATGGACTTCACAATATCAACTTCCGTAGTATTGAGGTTATTTTTTTAATGTTTTTCTAATTTTTTATTCTCCCTGTGTTTTATTGATTTTTGCTGTTTGTTTTGGGAATTTTGTTGTATTTCCTTTTTATCTTTTATCTGTGTTCGACATGTTTGTATAAACTTTTTTTGCCGGTTTAATTAAACAACATTTTTAATGTACAGCGCCTTGTTTGGTTGTAATGCCTTGTGAATGCGCTTTATAAATAAAATTGGATTGGATTGGATTGGATTGGAGCCGGTCATCCTAGCTGGGGGGGGAGGGGTCAGTGAGAGAACAGTTTACTTCATTAATTTAGTTTCTATTCCCTGAGTTTTATTGGACTTTTTGACAAAGTTGTTCAGAAATAGTACAAGAATGTAGTCAATAGACCCGGCAGACTGTTTTACCCGGCTGTAATTTCTAGAAGGGGAGGCAATCTTCGCTCTATTACTCAGCTCGTGCTCGTAAAACACAAACAAAAACAATCTGGTGTTTGCGTGCAGCATCGTCGCCGTTGGAAACAGTAAAAACAGGATTTGATCAAATAAGTGGCTGCTCGTCTGATCGAACGCTTTGATTGACCAGAGAAATAAAGAAAAAACGCGTCCTTCACAGTCACACAGCAAATATCACTGTTGCATCACTCAGTGTCACCACAACTGCCAACATGCAGCTACACTGGAGGATTTCTGGGCAGAGACACCTCGTGTAAGTGCGACTTGGTGGTGAAACCTTCTAGTCTGACTTGGTGCCAAGGTTTGGAACAGCATCCTTCCCGACTACACACCTACTGCATTCACACAGACGCATGGCGTTGCTCCTAACATCACCCACCTAGGGCAGTGTTCCTCTCTTCCAGGAACTCCACTTTGACGATCTGATTGACAGGCGGCGCGTCCTCCAGTTTATCTATGAGCGCCGTCACCAGGTCCTCGTGGTTGCCAGGGAAGATGCCCAGATGGTCGCCGGGCTTGTAGCTCAGGCTGTCGTGGTTGTTTGTGTGGAGCCGCACTAGTATGGTGGAGCGACTGAAGAGATTTACAAGGAGAGATGAAGAAAAAAAAAAAAACGCTTTTCAGTCTGTTTCCTTCGGTTCACACACCAGCGTAAGCAGAAGTTGGATGCAGAGTTTCATCAAAACGGACCGATTCGTTACGATTGATTTGCGAAAGGCGTTTTGTGTGCATACTCACTTGGATTTGGGACTTTGTAAATTTTGTGCTTCTATCATCTTTGCTCCGTAAACTTTCTTCTTGTGAATGCTGTATAAAGCTAAAAGACAGCAAGACATCCAATTAGATTACACAAATAACTCTAGATTCGATCTGTTTGCAAACTTCTAAATGCTTTCCCACAAACAGACAAACAGCTGCTTTTACATTAGGTTCAGAATTTCAGACAAATCGACGTCTAATTTAGCACAAATACAATAAATGAGTGGGTCTGAATTCAGGTTTAGTGCACACCAACAGGCTGATTAATTTCTAAAGAGGGGCTGCCCAGACACACAATGAAACGAAGGTATTTAGTGTGTGGGCGCGCTGCGAGCATCATGCTAATTGTAACCTTTCCAGAGAATGTTATTAGCAGACTAGATGTGCTGTTGTCGAGCATCGCAGTAAACTAAAAGACTTGTTTGTAGTTGCTACCCATCTTTCAAAGCAAAGCGTCATGCTCACGTCTTCATCTTGAACACAAATGACCTTCTGGCACTTGTCTGATGTTTCACACGGTTAGAAAAATAAAATCATCTCACGCAAAGCAAGACAGTTCCTCCTCTAGGACAACATATACCTTTTTCTTGCTATCGAGTTGTTTTCATCCCAAAGCAGACACATCGTTCTGTTAAAGGCGTGGGACTCTGGTGTAATCCACACATTTGCGAAGGTCTCTCGTAGGGATGAAGGCCTTGTGAGGAACACTCGGCTGAGCTTCAGGCGGCAGGTTTTGGAGTCTTATTTCCTGATGTTTGGACATCTTGCCTCTGACTGGATGACTGCAACACCTCTATCACCGACTTGCAACGTTGATGTTTTATCTCAGCAAATAACACCAGCCTGGAGGAGTTCTGCTGTGTGGTGGAGTTGCTAATGCTAATGGTTAGTTTCTATTAGCTGGGACATTCGCTAGCGTTTGCTGCACGCTGAACCAACAACAGCCTTGGGGGAGTCCATGAATGTTCGTGACAGTGTGACGTAGACTGTCATTGTCTGTTTTCTATCAGAAGCTAATGCAGGAGTTAGGCTTGGTGACTATCTTCACGTTCAGCATACGTGAAAACTCAGATTTTAAAAATGTTTTTTGGTATTCCACACCTTTAATCTGACCACTATTTGGTGCTACATGTGTTCATGTACACAGCGTTTACTCTAGTGAGGCAAAGGCTTTTGCACGACGGCGATATCGCTGCAGGTTCCAACCTTGACTCCTACGTGAGAGGCTGCGTGGGTTGTCACCGGCAGAAAGCACAGTTTCCTCTGATGAATTACAGTTCTCTCCTTTTATTGCCTAAACATTAAACTGGTAAAATGCACGAGCTGCAGGGAATATTTATCAGTAATTTGCAGTTATTTTAAACAGTCAGTTAAACGTAAATGCACTGAAATTCCCATCCCGGCATACTTTTGTAATTGTGATTCCCCCAAAGAAAACACAAGCAGATGTGTTGGATTATCCCAAACCGCACGTACAGCGTTTTATTAGTGCAGCTCTCAAACTTGCATTCTAGTGTTTTCCCCCAGCTGAGCCACAGGTCAGCGCTCCAGGTGATGCAGCAACGGAGACACAGGTAAATTAGTGGTTTTGTTCTCATCAGGACGTTTTGTAGATTTATCATAAGGTCACCAGAAGTAGGGGGTCACACGGGGCTCCTTACCGTCTGTGAGGGCCGGGGCCTCAGCTGTGTACGTTAAGCGAAACTTGCTCTGCTTCCAGCTGCGGTCGTTGCTGATCAAGGAGTTGTTGGCCTTCTCGATGTTCACATCATCGCCAACGCAGAACACATCACATGCAGCCTTGAAGCGTAACGACACAGCCACATCAAAAATCTCTCCTCGTTACCAAAAAAGCCATCTGTCAGAGCTCCAGTGTAGAAAACTAAAGCACTCAATCATTTTAGCACTCTAGAAATCAGACAGGAACAAGTGTTTCCACGGTCTCAAGGTTGTGCACGACCAAAGAGCTTTAACGTACTGCCTCCACAGAGCAGGCACAAAACTTTAAAAACGGGAAATCAAATCAAATTAGATTTAAAATAACCAACAAACCGGTTTTTAAATAAAGGTTAGGAAAATAAAAACTCCAAAATTGCATTTTTCCAAACTGACCCTTCAGCTTCGCGGGTCTCAGCCCAACGAACCAACCTTAAAAACTTTTTTGGCCCACGTTCTGAAGGATTCCTCCTGGCCACACAGCTCGTCTCCTTCTCCCATGCGTAGGATGCGCTCCCCCCCCAGCTCCTCAAACAGCGTGTCCACAGCGTGGGCAAAGGCGCAGAAGTGTGGGTAGGCCCTGGAGCCAAGGCCAAACACTGAAAACCTAAACAGAAGCACATCCACACGAAGAAAACACACGGACAGTTACAAATCAGAGCTGCAAAGCATCAGCCCGTGTTTGTAATTTGTCCTCAATGGTTGAAAACAGCTTCATGGTTTACAAATACGTGTCCGGTCGATGTTTAGATCGGCGTAAACATGACATTAATCACTTTTTGGTGGCACTTTGTTGCACTGTGAAGAAAGAAACCAACAATTTGTTGTTGTTTCAGCATCTTCTCTGTAAAATGTATGCAACGTGTCCAAAAGTACTGGCGCACCTTACCAAATCAGTTCATTCCAGTGTCCTAATGGATGGGCAAGCTAGCTGTGGAGGAACGTGAGCTGTCTGCCTAGAGCCCTGACTTTAATATGATAGAACATCTTTATGATGAATTACAGCTTTACTTTTAGGTTATACACAGTCGGTCTTGCCTGTTGTAGATAGCTTTCTGATCGACCTCAGTTTGGAGTAACACAGCCTAACTGACAGCTAAACTACGCAACATAAAACAGCCCCTGAAACTGTATACAGGTGCTGGCCAGTAAATTAGAATATCATCAAAAGGTTGAAAATATTTCAGTAATTCCATTCAAAACGTGAAACTTGTACATTATATTCATGCAATGCACACAGACCAATGTATTTCCAATGTTTATTACGTTTAATTTTGATATTTATAGGTGACAACCAATGAAAACATCAAATCTGGTATCTCAGAAAATTAGAATATTCTAAAGGCCAATGAAAAAATGTTTGTTTCTCTAATGTTGGCCAACTGAAAAGAATGAACATGAAAAGAATGTGCATGTATAGCACTCAATACTTAGTCGGGGCTCCTTTTGCCTCAATAACTGCAGTAATGCGGCGTGGCATGGACTCGATCAGTCTGTGGCACTGCTCAGGTGTTATGAGAGCCCAGGTTGCTCTGATAGTCGTCTTCAGCTCCTCTGCATTGTTGGGTCTAGCGTATTGCATCCTCCGCTTCACAATACCCCATAGATTTTCTATGGGGTTAAGGTCAGGCGAGTTTGCTGGCCAATCAAGGACAGGGATACCATGGTCCTTGAACCAGGTGCTGGTGGTTTTGGCACTGTGTGCAGGTGCCAAGTCCTGTTGAAAGGTGAAGTCTGCATCCCCATAAAGTTGGTCAGCAGCAGGAAGCATGAAGTGATCTAAAACTTCCTGGTAGACGGCTGCATTGACCCTGGACCTCAGGAAACAGAGTGGGCCAACACCGGCAGATGACATGGCACCCCACACCATCACTGACGGTGGAAACTTTACACTGGACCTCATGCAACGTGGATTCTGTGCTTCTCCGCTCTTCCTCCAGACTCTGGGTCCTTGATTTCCAAAGGAAATGCAGAACTTGCTTTCATCAGAAAACATAACTTTGGACCACTCAGCATCAGTCCAGTCCTTTTTGTCCTTGGCCCAGGCGAGACGCTTCTTGCGCTGTTTCTTGTTCAAGAGTGGCTTGACACACGGAATGCGACACCTGAATCCCATGTCTTTCATGAGTCTCCTCGTGGTGGTTCTTGAAGCGCTGACTCCAGCTGCAGTCCACTCTTTGTGGATCTCCCCCACATTTTTGAATGGGTTTGTCGTCACAATTCTCTGCAGGGTGCGGTTATCCCTAGAGCTTGTACACTTTTTTCTACCACATTTTTTCCGTCCCTTCGCCTGTCTGTTAATGTGCTTGGACACAGAGCTCTGCGAACAGCCAGCTTCTTTAGCAATCACCTTTTGTGTCTTGCCCTCCTTGTGCAAGGTGTCAATGATTGTCTTTTGGACAGCTGTTAAGTCAGAAGTCTTCCCCATGATTGTGGTGCCTTCAAAACAAGACTGAGGGACCTTTTAAAGGCCTTTGCAGGTGTTTTGAGTAAATCAGCTGATTAGAGTGGCAGCAGGTGTCTTCTATATTCAGCCTTTTCAGAATATTCTAATTTTTTGAGATACCAAATTTGGAGTTTTCATTAGTTGTCACTTATGAATATCAAATTTAAATGTAATGAACATTGGAAATACATTGGTCTGTGTGCATTGCATGAATATAATGTACAAGTTTCACGTTTTGAATGGAATTACTGAAATATCTTCAACCTTTTGATGATATTCTAATTTACTGGCCAGCACCTGTATAAGCTTAAGCAAACGCAACCTGATTGGTTTCATATTGTTTCAAGCAAATCATTTGGAAACAAGTTAATAATAATAATAATCATCTAACTTACATAGCGCTTGTTTAGGACACGCTAAGACGCTTTCACACACTCTCACATTCACACACTGCTAGTGATGGTGAGCTACTTTGTAGCCACAGCCGCCCTGGGGAGGTCTGACTGAGGCGAGGCTGCCATTTGGCGCCGTTGGCCCCTCTGACCACCACTAACACGGGCAAGTTGGGTGAAGTGTCTTGCCCAAGGACACAACAGCAGGATAACCCTGGCAGGAAATCGAACCATGATCCGCTGACAATGAGGCAACCCGCTCTACCACCTGAGCTACTGCTGTTGTTTTAAGATTGAGGAAATCTACTTTCTCTTCAAGGATTAGCTGTCATACTGAGGTCATACTGAGGTCATACAGAGGTCACACTGAGGTCATACTGATGTCATACAGAGGTCATACTTAGGTCATACTGAGGTCACACTGAGGTCATACTGATGTCATACAGAGGTCATACTGAGGTCACACTGAGGTCATACTGAGGTCATACTGAGGTCACACAGAGGTCATACTGAGGTCACACTGAGGTCACACGGAGGTCATACTGAGGTCATACAGAGGTCATACTGAGGTCATACAGAGGTCACACGGAGGTCATACTGAGGTCACACTGAGGTCATACTGAGGTCACACTGAGGTCATACAGAGGTCATACTGAGGTCACACTGAGGTCATACAGAGGTCATACTGAGGTCATACTGAGGTCATACAGAGGTCATACAGAGGTCATACTGAGGTCATATAGAGGTCATACTGAGGTCACACTGAGCTGAGGTCACACTGAGATCATACTGAGGTCATACTGAGGTCATACAGAGGTCATTCTGAGGTCATACAGAGGTCATACTGAGGTCATACTGAGGTCATACAGAGGTCATTCTGAGGTCATACAGAGGTCATACTGAGGTCATACCGAAGAAGCCAATCTACAAAATGTGAGATACTTACTGAATGCAGTTTTTAAAAATGTTGAACTTTTAATCTTTAAAGGGGGACTGGAATAACTTTTATTTGTACGACTGGAAACCGTTAGTTGAGTCTCTATAGAATAAGACACTTTTCTGAGGCTCAAAATGGCCAAGGAGCCCTGATAAAGGACCAATCACAACCCAATAATAAAGCTCAACAATGGAAAGACTGATTTGCCCCGCCCACTTGACATGTGCATGAAAATTCAATGAGCTGTGTGCTGATTGGTCGGTTTCTCCTGATGGCTTCACGGCACTACGGGAAGCTAGAGATGAGTGCACAGCTGTGTACAGTATCCACATAGCTCTGTTGGCAGGCTATGGATCCATCCAGCATTCATTCACTGTCTGGATATTCCCAGTACATCCTGGAATGTTACACGTGCACTCTGACATTCTTCTTTGTTGTTTTCCTCTGGTCCAGGAAATCCATTAGCAGTAGCTCAAGCTAGCGGTCAGCATTACTGCGACCAACATTTACACGTTGCCTGATGTTGAAGTGGATTAGGACATGCTAATGTAAGGGGGTGTGTCTTTTCTTATGACGTGTTATATCAGCTTTTCATAGACTGAAATTTTAAAAGCCACTCCGTCAACTATTTATTCACAATGCCCTTTGGTGTGTTTAGTTACTGGAATTCTGTTTTTCCTTTCTCGCTCTCATTTTGTTTGATTCCCGTCTCTTTCCGTGGCTCCGGGGATACGTTCGTGTTTGGTTCTGTCGATATAAAGAGTTTATTCTTCCACCATCAGTCTGCTTTTTCACTTGCCTGCCGGTGAGTCGTATTTTCCTGCAACCATGACAGAAACATAATCAGCTAAGGAGATTTTATTTTTAATAATGACAGAAAAAAGTCATTAAATGCCTAATAATTATTAATTTAAAAGAAAAAAAAGCCATGACATGATATTATTGTGAAGTAACGGGTATGTTACTGTCATGGAACGAGCCCAAAGATCTGGACTCCCTTTACAAAGTGCTCATTAACAATAAAATACCCAAACGTGATCAAAAACTGAATTCTGGCTTTTTCTAAACACACTCAGCATTTAGGGTTCATTTTTCAACACTTTTGCTAAAAGTGCAAATATCTGGAAGCAAAGTTTTAGAAATGTCCTAGTAGCCTCGAGGATGTAAGTACACGGTAGATCGAGTGGTGAGGTCAGATAAGAGCCGGGCACGCCGGCTGAGTGGAGCCGGAGAGCGGAAACGTTAAAAAGGGGGAACAGACTTCCAAACCTGCAGGCGGGCACCAGTGGAGTGGAAAGGTAGTGATAGGCTGACTGAAACAACAAACGACTGGATGAAAGCAGTGACTTGTGAATTCAGATCGGAACAATGCTGCATTTGATAGCAACCGAACGCGGGGAAATTTAAACTTCAGATTTGGAAAGCAGTAAAAGGAAATGCCTCCAGAAGTCAGACATCAGTCCGTTTCAAATCGTCAGCTCCAGTTACAAAACAGGTAGATTACCAATGAACCAGTCTGCGAAGATTAGCTGATCATTTTGGGGAAAAAATGCTGGAAGTTAAAGATCTGACTTCATTCTCAGTTCCTCAAATGCAGCATTGTGTCACAACAGCTTGAAAAGTGACAGTAGGAAAGATAACAGACCTGCAGGAACAGCTGATAATAACAGTAAAGGAACCCATATAAGAGAACCTGTTGATAGCAAACTGGATAAATGTTCTCATGACGGCTATTACAGCTTCTGCAGGATTCCTTAAGCACGATTTCATTGTTAAGAAAACTCCAAGTTTTAATTAAATTCATTTCATGATCATGTGTTTCTGTAGTTTGAATTAAAGCATTTAAAATATCACTTTTTGGACCGGCGCCATCGTAGAAAACACCGTTGTTTTACAAAAGTTTCTGTCAGATTTATTCACCTGACGTTGGCCAGAGGTCCGGTACTCTCAAAGTTGATCCTGGCCTCTGGCTCATCGCTAGAGGACTTCCGAGTGTCTGAGTGAGAAGACACGCTGTTGAAACGGACCTTGTAGCTCCTGGTTGAGACAAAAAAATAAATAAACAGACTGATGATGTAGATGAACGTACATGACGACAGAATCCTGGTTACAAAGTTCAGCTCACTTTCTGTCCTCCATGTTGGACGTTGGGTGGCGCATCTCCATTAAGGCGGCTCCAAATTTCTACACCGGCACAAAAAAAGGTTAAAACTCTGGTGAACTGATGAGAATGCATGAACGTTTGCCACGCACCTCGCCGTTTTCAGGTGGATCACCATTCCCAAATGTGCTGGTCACCACTAAAACGAGAGTCTCGTGCTCCAGGTGCACCACGTCGTACTCATCCATGGACATGACCTGCAAGCACAGGAGATCAGCATGTGGACGGATCTCAGCCACTTCAAAGGTCTCCTCTTCATCTCGCAGCACGCTCCGTACGACAGACGCCCCGAGCGTGCAAATTCAGGCTGAACACACAGCCGCTGGCAGAGGAGTGGGTCGTAACGACCACTCTGTCCTCGCCTCTAACGAGATGATAATATGCTGCTGCCACACACACACACACACACACACACACACACACACACACACACACGCACGCACGCACGCGCACACACACGAACGCATGCACACGCACACGCACACACACACACACACACTCACACACACACACACACACTCACACGCACGCGCACACGCACACACACACACACACACACACACACACACACACACACACACACACACACACACACACACAGGCGTGAAGAGAAAACAGGCTTTCGCCCGACAACAAGAAAGATTTGCCACAGGCGTTCACATCTGCCCTCTGCTTAGACACACCCACTCTCAGTGACACACACACACACGTGTGTGTGTGTGTGTGTCTTGTGATTGATCACACTGGGAAAGTGAAAGAGGAAATTAAGAGCGAAAGCATGGAGTGGATGACTGAGGGCATCTTTTGCTGTTTGTTGTTGACAGATCTGCACAGCCTGCGTGGCTCCAGGGTGTTGACTTAAACAACTGAACCGCTCAACGCTTCGACGGCTAAGTCTCGCCTCTGACCTCTGGCGGTTTACTGGACGAGGAGGAAATAAAAAAAGACGTGACAAATACACACTTTTTCAACCCTTTCGTCATCTGTACGCAGCTGCCATCTCCATGGCTTCATCAGTCAGCAAGCAGAGAGACGTGGGGAGGTTTTATTTTTACGTTGTCCCTTTAAAATCAGATACTGGTGAATTCAAACCCCTTGCTTAACTCTTGGCAACAGTGATGCAAGGAAGGTGCAAGCATACCTTTGCGTCAAAGGCGTGCTTGAAGATTTCACAGAGGGTTTTGGCGTAGTCTTGTGATTTGCCCGTTTCGGTGGCAAACAGTATGGTGGCTTTCACCCTCTTGGCCATGGCTTGGCCCATGAGCTTTGCCGAAAACTTCACAGCCCTGCAGAATGTGATGAGAGAGACGCTGACTGACATGCAGGGAGAACACCACACAAGCATCTGAAGCATCCAGGAGAAAGTGATTTGAAGGCACAGTTTGCCATCTCGCTGCCTCCTGCCATGAAGCTTTTGTTATTGAGCTGCGGTTGCAGGCAGCTACGGATGGATGACAGTTTTGATTACTTTGCTTGTAATAGCCTCGGGGCAATTATTTTAATAGCAGATCATACATGCGCACAAGTGCAGAGGGGTGAAAAACAGAAAAGAAAACACTGACAGAACTCTGATTACTCCCAGAGGGGTTGATTGGATGAATTTCACTGCTGAGTACGTTAGCCTACCTCTCGTGGGCTAACTTCTGTCAGGAAAGTGATTTCCCGTTTAAATTTACATTTACACTTAATTCATTATCTTTGACATTTGGGGTTGCAACGTGCTCTCGGTTCTATATCTGAGAAAAGAGGATTAGAAGGAAACATTTTGATCTAATGAAGGAAAGAAGACACACTCACTTAGCAAGCTTCTTGAATCCGATGGCCCTTTTCTTTGTGGGAGTCCCGTTGACTCCTTTCCACACGTGTGTGTGCCAAGGATCAGGCTTTTGCACACGGGGAAAGTAAGAAAATGGTGTTTAATTAAGATGTTCTCTAATTCAAAAGTCTAATTTGCAGTCCTCATGGATTATGAATTACAAAATAAGACAACACGTTCTCACTCCCAGCGCGTCAAAAACAAACGCGTGGTCAGCCACCCTCCACGTCAGACCCCTGACATCAAAAGTGTCCTTTTTCATCACTTACGTGCAAAAAGGGGTTTTTCCCTTATCTGACTGCAGATCCCAACGCAGCGTTACACTGACATGATGGGATGTCCGCAGCCAGGGCACCAAACAAGCTCATTGTACCTAGCCTTATCCTCTTATGTAACCTTCCCCTCACCCCTATCCTAACCTTAACCATCTTGCTAGCGAACACGTTAGTGATGTGTCGGCCGCTCTAAAAGCTGCCTCTATGAAGTGAACCGGGGAGCCGCCTCGTCATTGGTCGGGTTTGGACCGAGGCAACGCGAGAGGGAGGTTCCAACTACCACGGTGGAGGTTAGAAGTAGAGGGTATTTGTAACCTCCCCCTCGCCAGATGGTACGTTCTAACGTTCCCCTTGGGCGGCAAATACGAAAATTCACAGTCAGAATGCGTGGGAAGCAGACACTTGATCACAGTGAGAGTAACGTTTTAGGCAGCAAGAGGGTTAAGGTTAGGATGAGGGAGAGGGGAAGGTTATAAATAGTAAAACGTTGAGGTTTAGGTGCGGTTAAACGAGCCGGTTCGGTGCCGCATCAGCGGACATCCCATCACATCAGTGTAACGCTGCACTGGGATCTGCAGTCAGAAAAGGGAAAAACCCTTTTCACACATAAGTGATGAAAAAAAGGCACTTTTGGCGTCTGGGGTCTGAGGCGGAGGGTGGCTGACCAAGCGTTTGTTTCTGACGCGCTGGGAGTGAGAACGTGTTGAATAAGAACATTCAGACTAGAAGTGTTAGTTGAAGATGTGAAAATCCTGACCTGGTACTCATAGGAGGGGGTGAGGCGGTAGTTGAGCATCTCTTGATGAAAAACTGGCGTGATGCTCCCGGACATCGGTGGCACAATCCACACCCAATCTCCAGGACAGCCTCCTCTCACCCGATACTCGTTCTCCATGTGCTTCATGAAGGACTCCGTGGCTGAATGGTGGTCCACTATGGTCACTTTGCAAGTCTGATGTAAGGAGAGAAAGGACAGATTGGTTTCTGCATTATTTATTAACTCCTACAAGGATGAGCTACAGCAACCTTTATGAAGGCAAATAACGATAAAAAATAAAGAGCTTTCCTCAAAAGTTAAGGTGGAGCAAGTTAATCAGTGTTGACCTGCGTAGGCTAAAAAGATGCTTTTATTTTGAAAGGCATTGAGTGGTCTTTTCTAACATTTTCTAGGTCAGCATCTATTCTGTGCAGATAGATAATGATGACATCACACAGAAGAGTGCAGCCTACAGTAAATGTCCCGGGTGATGACAAAAACAATAAAACATCATCAGAACTGGCATAAAATGAGGCTTCTACCTGGAAGCTGTGCAGGACAGCTATGTTAATCTCCACGAGTGCCTGGTCCTTCCACAAAGAAGACGTCTTTCTGGTGTCCAAACCCATTTTTTCTGCAACGTCCTACATAAACAAATTTTTTTATGACAATACTGACGTGGAAAATCCATTTTCTCGTGACTTATTACCAAACCTGAGCTGGAAAAGAGGAAAAACCTTGAAGAGTGCATCACATGGAGGATGTTTTGTGTGTGTTTTACTTTTTGAGCATCTTAAAAACAAAGTTCCTACAGTCGAGGCTTCAGAATCAAAAATACATTTTAATAATGTTCATTTTTGAGTTGATCACAGTGAGGTGATTTCTTCTGAGATGCTCGATCAGAGAAAACATTTCCAAAGAGAATTAGGTTTCAGAAACGCAATCAACGTTTTGCTTTTCTATTCACAAGTCAAATCCAGCAAAGCTGGCACCCATGTGACTTGAAGTGCTCTTCATAACTGGATCACTTTAGTTTGGTCTGGATTGTTTGGATGGGAAATTCTCCATCTCACTTGTCTGAATGCTGTCATATGACACATCGCTAGGGATGGGTACCGAATTCGGTACTTTTTAAGGTACCGACCAAATTCCATAGTACCGACCGAGCACCGATTCACGTCATTTGAAACGGTGCCTCGTTTCGGTACCCGTCCATCATAACGAGAACTTGCATAGACAGCTGCGCATGCGCAAGAGCGTTATGTCGTCGGTCGCTGCGAGCGAGTTGTAAACAGAGCAGCATGGTAGAAAGAACGCACGCTAACGCTTGGGTCCACTTCACTAAATGTGATGGGTAACTGGGTGATGATGAAACCAGCAACAACGATCTAAGTGAGACATCCTCATCTTAATCTGCTCCGGTAGGTAAATAAAATGTTTAAGACAACGTTAGCTTGATATGTTAGCTTCCGTTTCACTAATGGTGCGTTCGCTTTCTCCTCGGAACTCAGAATTTCCGACTAGAAGAACATGAACGCGCTCTAAAGTTTGGCTTCACTTTACTAAATGCGACGGGTGATTGGGTGAAGATGAAACCAGCGACAACGATCTAAGTGTGAGGCATCATCGTTTTAATCTGCTCCAGCAGCTAAATAAACTGTTTAAGATAACGTTAGCTTGATATGTTAGCTTCCTATGCCACCATTGTTATCAGCTAATGGTGCGTTCGCTTTCTCCTCGGAAATTCTAACTTCCCAGTAGGAAAAATCAAATGAAAAAGGACGGCAAAAGGAATGAAGATACACAGTAAATTTAGTTCACAGTAAAGATGTTTGCTTCAGTTTAATTATCAGCTTATAAAACTACAAGGACAATGTTAAAATACAAACAGTTGAATGTTATTTATCGTGATATTTATCAAATATGGTTATATACTGAGAAAAATATATATTTAATTATAAAAGAGAATTAAAATAATAAATACTCGAAAGTATCTAAAATTGGTACCGTTAAGTACCGGTATCGATTCGTAGGTACCGGGAATTAGTACCGGATCGCTTCAATTGTCAAAGGTACCCATTCCTACACATCGCGCACAAATAGCCACCAGCCTGGTCAGCAGTTTCACGCGTCGTTACAAATCTATTTTTATCGCATGCTCTCCAGGATTTGAGATTTCAAATTGACAAAATATGACATAAACGTTCTAGAAATCATCTATTTCTCAAGTGTGGACAACTTTGTAACACAATGCTTCCAGTCTTTACCCCCTGTCCCGGTACACATGATCACATTTTTGGCCATGAAGCTCTACCTCCAGGATGTTGTAGCGTGAGGTGTCACAGAAGTCCCTGACGCCGATCTCTGTGCCCATGTACCATCCGCTGAAGGGGCATCCGGTGAACTCCAGACCTCCGATCTCCAGCAGCATGTTTGACACTGCTGGGAGACCGTACCACTTCAGGTCCAGGTCTTTGAACCATTCGAGCCTGAGGAGAGGACACCGGGAAGTAGTGGTGAGAACATCTTTCATTGCCAAATTAGCAATAAGGTATTTAGTGGCTTGTGCACACGCCACTGAGGCATACATGTTTAAAAATTTCACGTGGCCAAAACACACATTAGCACAAAACAATCCACTTGGAGAGGCTCTTCGGGGTTGGACAAAGCACACTGGGCCTGTTGCATCCTTCAGGGGGATTGATAGGGCTGCTTTCACTCTGTTATTTGCAAAGCTGGGTTTAATCTTGTGTAACGATGAGGTTCTGCGCCCGTGCCAAGCTGCTGCTAGAGCTGAGGGCCAGCTGATGCTGGGCATGGAGCACGAGTCGCCAATTTTAGGGGTTGGGAGATTTTGTGTCAGGGGATCCTGCAGCACTCTCTGAAGCATGCAACAGCGCCGTGATGGCCTGCTGTGCATCTCCGTGTGTGTGTGTGTGTGTGTGTGTGTGTGTGTGTGTGTGTGTGTGTGTGTTGGTGAAAAGTGTGCAGCAATGCAAACCCAGTTGTTTGCTGTGATTAAGAGGTTACACTGAGCTACTGGGTTAGGGTAAGCTTCAGAAGACTGGCTACCAATTCAAAAAAAGAGTTTTGCTGTAGAGAAATTAAACAACAGAATAAAACCAGGAGGAGGCTCGCTAACAAGCTGTAAATGCTGGTGGACCAACGGATGAAAGATGGCTCTGTTGGCTCTGTTTTCCGGGAATGATCGTCACAGTTGGATTGTGGCAGCAACCAAATCAGATTTGTTGGCATCAAAGCGCCTCGTTGTTTAAGAGGCGCGGTGAAACAAAGAAATCTGCACGTGGGCGTAGATCTTTGTGCAGCCTCCTCTTCTTATGTTGCCACATTTTGTTTTCATATTTAATGAATGCCAAAGAGGAAAAACGAACTCACTTTGGATGTGTGATCGGCACCTCCAGAACGAGGTCTTCAGGGATCTCAAACAGCTCCGGGTCATTTCCGTTAGCTTGCAGGAGAAGTGGAAGGACATCAAATCGACCCTTCGGAGCTTTCCATCCAAGCTGCATGCAGATCTGGTGACACAAAGCGACTCGTCAGCGCAGACCTCCAGAGAAAAGGAGCTCCTGACAGGTTCATTTCTATAATAGATAGTCACGTGTACCTCTGTGAATTCAACATTAGCGGGGTCTCCAAGGATACTCCCATCAGGCTGTTTGTAACCTGCGTAACGAATCAGCTGAGCGTTCCACACACGGAAGTCGTGTTTGCCGTCTGTCCTCTGAGGAAATATGGTGATAGCTGACCTGCAAAGAAGTAAACAGGAGGTATTTAAAACCTGACAATGATCTACGAGGGAGTTCATGTTTAATTATTAGAGAATGTCACATTTAGAATCGATGCTATTGAATAAAAACATGAAAAAAAGAGTAACTGGGTGTTTTCAATTGTATTTTAGCGTCTTTCTCTGAATAAACTGTTGTAGTGATAAGATTACGTGTGTATTTTGGGTGCTTTTGAAGCTCAACATACTACACTACATTTGACCAATAAGATGTGAATTTCTATATAAATATGGAAATCCAACCTGATTGGTCTCAAAGGGTTTAATCAGAAGAATTAGGATTCTTTGTTTATTCAGGGATCGTAACACACTTCGTATCAATTCAGACAGTCAAGTTTATAAAAAGTAAGGAATTCATCCATCCATCCATCCATTTTCATCTGCTTATCCGGAGTCGGGTCACGGGGGCAGCAGCCTAAGCAGAGAGGCCCAGACTTCCCTCTCCCCAGCCACTTGGGCCAGCTCCTCCGGGGGAATCCCAAGGCGTTCCCTGGCCAGGTGAGAGACATAGTTCCTCCAGCGTGTCCTGGGTCTACCTTTAGGTCTCCTCCCAGTTGGACGTGCCCGGAAAATCTCACCAGGGAGGCGTCCAGGAGGCATCCTGACCAGATGCCCGAGCCACCTCAACTGGCTCCTCTCGATGTGGAGGAGCAGCAGGTCTACTCCGAGCCCCTCCCGGATGACTGAGCTTCTCACCCTATCTCTAAGGGAGAGCCCAGCCACTCTTCGGAGAAAACTCATTTCGGCTGCTTGTATCCGCGATCTCGTTCTTTCGGTCACTACCCAAAGCTCATGACCATAGGTGAGGGTAGGAACGTAGATGACCGGTAAATCGAGAGCTTCTCCTTCTGACTCAGCTCTCTCTTCACCACGACAGACCGGTACAACGCCCGCATCACTGCAGACGCAGCACCAATCCTCCTATCGATCTCATGCTCCAGTTTTCCCTCACTCGTGAACAAGACCTCGAGATACTTAAACTCCTCCACTTGGGGCAGGACCTCCTCCCTGACCCGGAGCTGGCCCAAGTGGCTGGGGAGAGGGAAGTCTGGGCCTCTTGCCTTAGGCTACTGCCCCTGCGACCCGACTCTGGATCAGCGGATGAAAATGGATAGATGGATGGATGGATGGATGGATGGATGGATGGATGGATGGATGGATGGATGGATGGATGGATGGAGGTAACAAAAAGATTAACTTCAGGTTTAAAATAAAGATAGCCCAGGTTGTGAAACTCATTTTCCGTGGCTGTTTTAATAGGATAAAGTTTGTGAGCAAAGCTGCGTACAGTTAGAATAAATTATTATTTATTCATTAAATTAACCAGGTTCAAATAAAGGAAAGTGGATCATTTCTAATTATTCAAAATTTGTCAATTCAAACTGAGAAGTGTAAAGTACCGAGCATTTAGAGTGGGTTTCTTTAATGAAAGCTAACTCACAAATCACACTGAAGGCAAAACAAAAAGCTTCAAACCTTGAGATGAGTTTCCTCACAACAGCTAATCACTCATAAAACGTAAAAGATTAATGCTCCATAATTCTCTGTTTGCATCCTGGATGAGAATCAAAATGTCTTGAAAAAAAATAACGTACTGTTCAAGCTGAGGTGCGTTGTGTGCAAAGTTTAAAGTGAGAGTCAAGGCATGAGCGGAGACTTATTTCAACTCAACTTCCTGTTAAAAAAATACCTGGGAAAAAGGCATTCCCAGGAGGACTGAGAGAACGGCACTAAGACAGTGATTGGCAGCACCCCCCCCCCCCCCCCAACTCCCGCTGCGTGCGCTCTCGGAGCTTCTCAGTTGGAAAAAAGAGTTGTTAACAAGTGCGCGCACACGAGCCCACAAACCGCAGACTCGTCGCTCAGGAGAAAAGCAGACAGAAACTGCAGGAAGGAGGATTTCCTGTTCATCTCCTTCATGAGAAAAGAGGGGAGGAGGACGTTTTTCTTAAGGAGGCGAGCAGCTCAGAGTGCCAACGTGTCATATCAGCAGGTGAGGGGTTGAGCCAGGTGGAGGTGCAGCGAGACTCAGCAGGAGTCCAGTGCAGTGCAGCCGCGTAGTACTGGACAGACAACGTCGCCCTGCCGCGCTGCAGGAATCAACTGTGGCTAACTCTAAATCAGTGTGGAGCAAAGTTTTAACCTGAAGATGGAGATATAATTATGGTTTTGGGCCAAAATATGAAATTTAAAGTAAGTTGCACTAAACTGCCCAAAATAATGGTTACACATGTGTACAGCACTATTAGACACTCATCTATACAGGTCATCAGCAAAAAAAGTTAATTTAGGTGGTACTCGCGCTTTAAATCAACTCAAAGGTTCAGTATGTAAGAATGATGTAAGACTGACATCCTGTGGTCAAATTTGAGTACTGCAGCTCGTTTTCCAAACCCACAAGTGACTTCCTCGCTACCGCTCCTGTCACCAGCTACGACTCAGCACCAGAAGAGTCTAGATGACGAGTGAAGACAAGTCATACAGTTAGTTGATTAGTAGATGAATAAATTTCATTGTAATATTGAGTTGTTGGTAATTTAATCAATTTCCCCTGGGATTAATCAAGTATTTAGAATTTGAATTGGAAAAAGTAGCTTTCTGGAGCCAACTATTTGTTGCTAAATCACTATTAGCATTGCTAGCTCAACGTTAGCATCTAGTCTTCTTTATCTGATATCAGAATAAAAGAAAAAGTTGCCGTGGCTTGTTGTACAAGAAACAACTTCTGGGTCGCTCCTGTTTACTGGCTCAGGATCTTTCCCACACGCTGCTGCGTTTTGCCCGCGTTGCCGACTCGGCACTCGCTCTGCAACCCCACAGGCTCACAGAGTGCTTTTGTCGTTTTGAAGGGAGATAAACCAACAACCTCCAACTTAAACAACCTAATGGGATTTCAAATCACACACCGATGCCAATGCCTTGTGTAATCTTTAATTAGGACCCGATACGTATATTTTAAAGGTAAACTAAAGGGTGCACTTAGTTGTTGGAGTAAGGTGCTTTTTCTGAGCTTGTCTCATTTGTGCGCTGTCACTTTTCAATGTGTGTGTCTGAGCCGGCTTCAGAAGGCCTGGCTAAGTGTAGTAGTGAGTCAGAATCCATCCATCCTCCAAGAAGTAAATGTGAGATGTCACATGTGATTAGGACTTGGCAGAAAGTGTGTGAGTGCAGCGCAGGTCTGACAAATGACTGCTTGTTAGGGAGGTCTGCCGCCTCACCAGCCAGCCACCAGAGTGGTGCTGAGACACTAACAGATAAATAGACCGGCAGCAGATCGTGTCAGATAGCAGCGTTCACACACTGACAGATGGGACAGAGGGTCGAGTCGGGGTGGTCAGAGCTGGAGAAGGGGTGGTGAGCTACACAGTGTGACAGATGGACAGGACAAGAGGAAGTTTGATAGGAGGAACATGAGCATCGGAACAGCACTGGAATATCTGGGTGTGTTTGTTTTTTGTTACCTAAGGTTGCCTTTGTTGGTGGCATACTTGATGTGGTTGCAGATGTAGTTGTACATGCCATGGGCTGTTGTGCAGTCTCTGGCATCAAAAACCTGACAAGCAAATCAGAGTCAGACATTTGTTCATTATTCTCAGCTGAAATCAGGAGTTTTCCCCTTTTCAGGAATCATGTTTGATTTGAGGTGATAGTCTGACCCTGTTCTGTGATCTAATGTAGGCAATATGTCAGTTTCAACAAGTCTCCTAGATCGTATGAAAAACTGCCAAAGAAATCTTCCATATTTACATTATGATGTTCAAAATATAAAAAAGTACACATAGATCATACAACCTGCAGTTTGGACCACTGAATCCTTCCCACACATCGGGAGGCGTTCCTCCAGGCGTGTTTGGCTCCATAAATCAGTTCAGTGTCCTTCAGTTGGTAAGTTCCTGAAGCTTCAATCTCCTTCGTTACCTCCTCCAGTCTGTCCACATGAGGCTTGGAGCCGTTCCTGTGAGGCAGGACAAGTCCGGAGGTTACAATACAGCAGCTGACAGTCCAGAAGCGAGAGGACACGTGGGACGGTCCCGCTAAAATCTAAACAATGGAAACAAAACTTTGACACATTGAGAGAAGGCTTCCGCATGTGTGTGTTCTGGAGACACGCACAGAAACTCTAATTGGTTTAAAAAACCCATAAATGAATAAATTAAAGTCGAGTCTGAATAAACAAAAAACAAAAATCACACTTAGACGCCTGGAGCTCTGACTCGCCTGTTTCAGGAAGTTCAAGTCAGCTGGAGAAGAGCTTCGGACGGCCGGAGCCTTATTTCCTGATATTTGGACATCTTGCCTCTGATTGGCTAACAGCAACACGACTCCACCACTGACACAAAGAACAAGCTTGGAGGAGTTCTGCTGTGTGGTGGAGTTGCAAATGCTAATGTTAGCTTCTACTAGCCGAGACGTTCTCTGCTGTTTCCTGGACGCTAAACCAACAACGGCCTTCCTCGTCGTGCATCAAGATGGGTGAGCCCATGAATGTTGAGTGACGGTGTGACGTAGATCTGTCAGGATTTTCTAATCCTTGAGTTTCTGTAAGAAGCTGATGCAGGAGATAGGTGTAGGAGACTACTTACATGTTCAGCCTGCATGAAAACCTCAGAGTGACCCGTTATAATCAGAAATAATCATTAGAAAATGTTTTCCAGTCAACCCCGCCATTAATGTGAAATACAGACCAAACTCAGTAGGGTTTAGTTATTGTTTCTGTAAGAATTGTGTTCACCGGTGTCTCTTCTCCGGTGTAAATGGTAGCAGAGTGAAACATTTCCACATAAATGTGCGTTTTCAGTTAAATGAAGAAGACAGAATATGGTAAACTCTAAGAACACCGTGCCCTGAAACCAAAGGGTTTATTTTAAAACGAATCCAGAGCTAAAGAGCCGGTTTGAACTCCCACAGGTGCAGCGTTTACCTTTTGATGGAGGTGTAATATTGGTCTATGAAGTCCGTGGCCAGCGACAGAAGCTCCTCTTTAGGTCTCACCTCATCTGGTTTGCGGGAGTTGTGGTTGGGCATCACGACGGAGCCGATGCACACATTTTCACCGCAGACAGGCGTCTAAGCAACAGCATCAAATAAAACAAACATGAGACTGTTGTCCTTTAAAACTACTGCAAATAACAGCAAACACCCCAACACAGACTGCAACATAATGATGCATTTAACATAATAATGCATCTTTTTACACACATCCCTCCACGTGACTCGCATTTTCACTCAGGACATGTTTTTCACCAATTTCTGCTTCATTTTCATCAACTCGTGTCCTTATTTCACTCGTCACAAATCCATAAAACAGAATAAAAGAAACACACACAAAAAGATAAATAAATAAATAAAAAAGATTTTGTAGACGTTGGTTGAATGTGGTTTGCACATCTGGACAATATTTCCAGAATATTTGAAAATGCACCAACAATACGTTGAAAAACAAAACAAGTAGAAAGACTCTAGGGAGAAATAATGTTGCAGGAGTCCGTAAATCCTTTCCAAATGAAAAGTCGGTGCCAATCTTTTAAGCGAGTGACTCAGCAGAGCTGAAGCTCCATGATCTCCGACTGGTCGAGGATTTTTTGTACACTTTAGAGCAAACTGAACTTTTTAGACAATAAGAGGGTATTTATCTTCATCTGGACCGGAAACGGGACAAGTCAGAATGCAAAAACAAGTACTTTACAACATTTATCCCATATGAGACTATTTATGACTTTTAAAGTTATAATAGCATATTTACAGTCTATAAAACACATAATTATTAAGTTCTTTGCACTAAATCCGTCTCACATAAAAATATTTCAGCTGTTTTTAATTCTTAATTCTTGGGGCGACAAGTGCTCGACTCGTGATCGGGAGGTTGCGGGTTCGAGCCTCGCTCAGTCTGTGGCTGTTGTTGTGTCCTTAGGCAAGACACTTAACCCACCTTGTCTTCCGGTGGCGTTCGGAGGGACCGGTGGCGCCTGTGTACAGCAGACTCACCGTTGTCAGTGTGCCCAGGGGCAGCTGTGGCTGCACTGTAACTCATCACCATCAGGATGTGAATGTGTGGATGACTGATTGTGTTGTAAAGCGCCTTGGGGAGTTCCAAGACTCTAGAAGACACTTGATCAAATACAGGCCATTTACCATTTTCACATTTTTCGCACCTTCTAGAATGAACAGTTTCAGGATTCTGTCACTTAAAAAAACAACAAGCCACGCCCACTCCTACTCCTTTCAGGCTGCTATAAGCTGAAAAGCTCGGATACCTGAGAGGGGCTCAAGCTCAAGGGAGAGCTACAGCTCCTCCAGTGTCGACAGGTAAGAGGTGTTTTTTCCCCCTATTTGTGACATCACAATTGGGGATTCTTTGAAACGGCTTGTTTAAGCTCATGATCCCCAAAACCAAACACTGACAGAAAGCTGTGCAATGTTTTATTTTTTCATATTTGGAGTGTTTATAGAGGCGGTGTAGACCCGCATGGCAGCACAAAAGGATGCAAAAAGTGGGTTTTGCCTTTAAAATGTGTTAGTGAGTCAAAAATCCATCAGCTGGAAGTTAAAACACTAAAGCAGGACAGAGTTATCTAACATGTAAAACAGCCAACATCACATCCGTTGGGTTTGAAAGACGCTGGAGTTAAACATCACGATTCTACTGACCGCTTAATGAATACAAGGGTAATAAATGTATGGTTTTCTGGGACCAAGGCACATGGATGGCGAGCATCTCGGTGAATAAGTCAGTGAGTCATATTGGTATCCTTCCATTAAACCAAGACTTGACGGCAGAGAGAGAGAGAGAGGAGGAAAGGCAAATGGCACTAAACCAATGAATGCCAGAGAAAATTGCCAAGTGGAACCTTGTTTGGTCCGTTTAATACGCTGAGAGGTGGAGTCAGCTGCCACTTCGGTTGGCTCATCCAGAGGACAAACGCGGAACGTAACGCAGGCGCTCGGCCCTAGAGGAAATTTGACGATGACCCCAGCAGTGCTAAAACGGGCTCCTTACACCCGACCACCCACTCGCACTATCCAAACACTTCCGTCTGCGATCCTTCCTTTCTCCACAAACGCAAAGGACGAAAATAAACAGCGTGGCCAAAGAGAAGACTGAAAAGCAGGGACGTCTACAAAGAAGCAAAACCGGGGGAGATGAAAGAGGTGAACGGGGAAAAGGGAGAAAATGGATGAACAGAGTGATAAAAATAAGACAAAGGGATAACTCATGCTCCAACACGTCCGCTCGTCCCGCTGCTCAGGGCATTCATGGCAGCCAGCTGTCCTTTTGGGAAAAGACGGATCCTCCGTGATGTATAATAAATCTGAAGATGCTATTACAAGCCATTCATTGGGATGCACACGGCAGCGCTCCCGATAAGTCACCAAAGCAATTACGCTTGGGTTTGCTGTTTACAAATGGCTGCTGTGTTCTGGAGGGGTTTACTAACAAGAGGAGGCGGCTCTGGCTGCGTGATTAAAGGTGTGGAGCAGCTGAAGAATGAACAGGAAGCTACTTCTGCTGCTTTAACTGAAACTTCAGTTTCTTACAGAATCTGAACATTTGGTTTAAAGAGCAAGTCACCCCCAAATAAACATTTTTTTGCTGATAAACTAAATAAACGAGTGTCTAATCGTGCTGCAGACACGTGTCGACAATAATTTAGCACTTCAGTGCATCTTAGTTAAAATTTAAATATTCTGCCTAAAACTGGCAGTGTTGTGCCGTGGTCAGGTAAAAACTCTGCACTGCATTCTAATTTAAATCTGCCATCGCTATTGGCTAAGAGGTATGCTATGATGTAAACTGGTATATTATGATGTCACAATGTCGTGAGTGTGTGTATTTGTTAGTGGCTCCACCCTCTCGGTCTGCTAGGCAACAGCATTTGTTGCATTTTTCAAACATGAAGTGGGAGTGGAGTAATACTCTGGTAGGGGGTGACTTGCTCTTTAAAGAGCAAGTCACCCTTTACAAGAAGCGTACTCCACTCCCACTTCATGTTTGAAAAATGCAACAAATGCTGTTGCCTAGCAGACCGAGAGGGTGGAGCCACTAACAAATACACACACTCACGACATTGTGACATCATAATATACCAGTTTACATCATAGCATACCTCTTAACCAATAGCGGTGGCAGATTTAAATTCAAATGTAGTGCAGAGTTTTTACCTGACAACGGCACAACACTGCCAGTTTCAGGCAGAAAATTTAAATTTTAACTAAAATACACTAAAGTGCAAAACTATTGACTACACGTGTCTGCAGCACGATTAGACACGCATTTATATAGTTTATCAGAAACAAATAGTTGATTTGGGGGTGACTTGCTCTTTAAGGATTAGATTTGTTTTTGCACCTGGCTGAAATCCTACGATGCAATCTAATACAAAAAAACTTTATACATTTATTCCATACTTATAGTGATTTAGGAGCAATTTGGTACCCATAATAAGCTGAAAAGAGCATTTCTTGACCTCTGCTTGACTCAACTCTTACATTTTCTGCAGAAAGAAACTCTCTGTGCAACACAGCAGGTCTGACACATCTCATTACTGTTATTCAATGCATTAAACTGTTTCCCCCAACAGTGCGTTTGTGTAAACTAAAGTCATAAAAGAAGAATGCAGCAGATGTGGTAAGTCGTGTTGCACCCACTTTGCATCACACCAAAATGACATAACCACAGAACTCCACAGTGTGGAAAAGTTTAGCAGACATTTCCGCTTCAGCTTCTTCTTCACAGTGGCAGAAACTGAATGGGCTTGTGTACTTCTTACCAGAGACAACATCAAGATCTGATGAAGATGAAGGGAAAACAGTGTCGTGTCAGTTTTATTCTGCTAATCTGATCATGGTTTGTTTCTTTTAAAAGTCACTGCGTCTGTATTTGCTGGAAACTTGAAGATGTTTATGTTTATGTATTTAGCAGACACTTTTGTCCAAAGCGACTTACATAATCGGCATGTTGCCCTTGAGGCTAACAACAACAACAACTTGACATCAGTCATGGAGTGGACGGTAGAGAGAGGGGGGGGGGCGGGTGCAGGGAGGGTGCTAGTTTAGAAGATGCTCTCTGAAGAGCAGGGTCTTCAGGAGTTTCTTGAAAATAACCATTTTTAATAAAAGACGTTGTTTTTCCTCATTTTTGTGTCGAAAGTGAAACACGTTTCCTTTAATTGGCATTAAAGTGTCCACAGTGGAAAACCTTTATAAACACCAGCCTGCAGGTCCACATGACTGAACATCAAGTTTAAAAACAGCTGATTTTATTGCGGTGTCTATTTTGAACCTAGCTGCATGCCAACATGTGATAATGAAGATGACACCTGCCAGTTCGACCTGCTCCATTATTCACGAGCAACAAACTGAAGTCAGGCTGATTTTCTGAGGACAAATCAGACCTTTACTCAGCTGACTACCAATCAATAATCAATACAAACAAAGATAAATGACCTTAACATAAAGCACATAATTGCTATAACAGTGAGGCAATGACACCATTAGTCTGGGAAGGTCTCTTTACTTGGTTTTTATTTTGTTTCATGTCTCAACTTGAAGGATTTGCCGTCAGTTTCCACTGAATGATGTAGATGAGGTCCAGTTTTGGACGACTCCAGCCAGCATGAGAGGCCTTGTCAGGTTCCATATGAGAGGTTTGGACGAAGCGGTGATCGTGGGTTCAGAACCTTAATGATTTATCCAGATGTGGGTTCAAGCTTTCAGCAGCAGCTCAAAGACGGATGGTGCAATTAAAGATAAGACTATTTATGCATACATGAAAGCATTCCTTTAATGAATCAGAGGTCATTTATTGCTTATTTGAATACTGTATCATTTGTGAGCTTACTTCACGTCAAAGTGGTGGTTTATTTGCAGACCTTAAAGGTCCCATATCATGCTTAAACCACCTTTTGAGCTCTTATATAGTTCCTCATCAAAAACACACGTGGATTTTTCGGTCCCCGCTGCAGATCTGCACCTGGCTAGATGGGGCCAGCACACTCTCACACACCCAAAACGCCAAAATATGACGCGGGTCACCAAGCCTCAATATATGACGATTCGGGATGCCCCAGCGCGTCAGGAGAGGATGATCAGGGACACGCAGGGACACGTGGCACCGCCGGCATCTGTATTTGATGCCCGCTGTCACACGGACGTTATTCCACAATTTAACCGTCCCCATGGACGTAATTTTTGGGGGGGACAGGGGGGGCATGTCCCCCCCCACACTTTTTCCAAAGTCAAGTTTTGACCCCTGCAATTTTTACCATCCAAAACCAATATTACACTATATTAAATTGACACTGGTTGAGCTCTAGGACCAAGCGGAAAACAACCGTTTGCGTTGAAGCCGGTTTCCCATCAGAGCATAATGTCAAGACACCCCCCCCCCCCCCCCACTTCTAAAGTGAAAATTACGTCCTTGACCGTCCCCTCACTCCAACTCAGTAACTCAGCTGAGTTAAGGTTAGGATTGGGGTGAGAGGAAGGTTAAGTAGTTCACAAGTTGGTCTAATGTCCGTCTCTCCGCCGGCGACGGATACCAACGCTCTGGGATAGTGTGTCTTCAAGGCGTCCTCCCCTGATGCGCGAGTCATCACATATTGAGGCTTGGTCACACGCGTCATATTTTGACGCTTTGGGTGTGAGAACGTGTTGGGGCGTGTTTGCATCGTCATGCCCTGCTCCTCCCCATCAAGAAAGTGCCTAACCTGCAAGCTCCTCCCCCGTCCTGTAAACACTAACGTCCACTCTCTCTGTGCTGCAAGCAGCGAGCAGTTGTGAAGAACTGATTTCTTTCTTATTGGGTCTGCAGTTTTGATGATGCCTAAATGGCAAAAATGCATTTTTGTTTGCGAGAGAAACAGGAATTAGTCCAGTCTTCCCAAAGAAGAGCTTAGTCAGACACGGTTGGACTTCATCTTCAAGAACTCTCAAAAACGGAGCCAGAATGAACTGGTTTCATAATTCTCACCGCCCCACGCGAATAAGCTGGAGTGGAGTAAAACCCAAATTACCAAAGCTGCTTTCTTCCTTCCATGCTTTCGTTCTTTTGTAACACAGAAACAGTTTTGTTTACCTGTTTTGTAGCTACAGTTTCGCCGACGTCGGCGAAACTGTAGCTACAAAACAGGTAAACAAAACTGTTTCTGTGTTTAAAAAGAACGAAAGCATGGAATTAGAACTACGACACAGCAAGAACACACCTAAGATGCTTTCTTCCTGTTCATGACCCGTGGTGCTCTGCTTCAGATCTAAGGTGACATCACGAAAAGGGTGGAGTTCACACGGGAGGAGGCGGGACTTCATCATATTTAAGCATCTTATTTATAAGATATAAAAGTGTCAGAAGAAAACAATCTATAGCTCAGAACAAATGATGTGTTCACACAGAAAAGCCTTTAGTGAGCATCCCTAAAAACACCAGGTTAAAACACGTCCGGTTATACAGTTTGGAGGAAATGTGCTGAAATTCCCAGTCCTGGAAGGACAACAACATGCCGTCATTTTGGATAAAAGCGTCTGCTAAATAAATAAATAAACATACACATGAACATGGGACGGGAAATGAAACCGCTCATTCAGTCTAATCTAATTATCTAAAGGGCAACAAAAACAGCATCTTTGTCTGTTCTTGTTGGCAGAGGTGGGAATCGTGGCATCGACAAGCCAACTCCACGCCGTGATTTTGTTCTGCTCAGCAACTGAACCAGCTTCCTTCACTGTGCCGACGGAAACCAGCGGTTTAGTTGCTGAACTGAAGAAAAACACAGCATGGAGATGACTTGTTGATGCCACGATTTCCCATCTGTGGGTGTAAAAGTCCCACACACTCACTCAGAGCTTAGCTGCTCCTTTTAACTCTAATGGAGTTAACCTAAACTTCACTTTTAAATCTGCTGGACGCAGCGTTTGATCCAATTTTTGATAAATCTGTGTAACATTCAGTTCAGTTCATTATATTTCAAACATCTACATTCACCAACATTTCATAAAATCCTTCCAAGCAGTTGTTTGAAAAGGAGTAGGCATGGGTATGTACTTACTTAGCCCCACCCCCTCAGGTTTACATCCTCATCATCTCAATTTGAACAACAAAACATTTACAATGCCTTCAGACAAAAAGAAAAATAATTCTCATGTCCAACTCGAACATGACGTGTTCTGTTGTTCATTTACTTTCTAAAGTTTCCTGAACCACACCTAAAGGCAACTACGGCTGTTTACTCACTGTAACACTTGTTTACCGCGCACAATCACGCATCGTTGGAAAACATTGAATTACGTTCGAATGGGCCGTTGCAGCAGACTATTGTTTTTCATTTGTTAAGGTAATTGGGGTAATTTATGAAATAACAACAGCAGTAAAATCTGAGTAAACAAGGACGCTGTTAACTAACAACATCGAAGCCCCGACCGTTGTCCTGTTTTAGATTTTAAACTTTAAAAGGTTAATCTCAACTTTGTTCTCATTGTGTCACAACTTTAAAAATCCAGCTGGTTTGGAGGTGATTCGATTATTCAGTAATTTATCACTTTGTCTTTCTCATTTCTTCAATTCCTGCTGACATTTGTGTCATCCTGATTCATAACGAATGGCCTCATAATGCCGTTAAATCGTACTAATTAAGAGTGGCGGCATGGACGTAATTTTTGGGGGGGACAGGGGGGACATGTCCCCCCCACTTTTTCCAAAGTCAAGTTTTGACCCCTGCACTTTTTACCATCCAAAAACAATATTACGCTATATTAAATTGACACTGGTTGAGCTCTAGGACCATGCAGAAAACAACCGTTTGTGTTGAAGCCTGTTTCCCATTAGAGCATACTGTAAAGATAGCCCCACCCACCCCCCACTCCGTGTCCCCCCCACTTCTAAAGTGAAAATTACGTCCATGAGTGGCGGGACACGAAAGACACATTTTCACCTTCACTAAACCCAAGCAGACAAACATATCAAAGCTTCCCATGAAGATGTGAACAGCTTTAACCAGTTAATGCCCGGACTGGTGTCTTCTGTCCTACCTTGCCGGAGCTGTGGTAGAGGACATCGTTGTAGACCGTCCCATTCTCCCAGTTCCTGACCTTCATGAAGCGGGGGCATTTGGAGGGGCTGCCGTTCTGCACCGGCATCACGGGCGAGGTGCCGTGGTCCAGGGTCCCGGGCTGGAAGGAGCACACGGACTGTTAAATATGAGCCACTCTGTCGGGTTCTGCTGCAGCTGGGCCAACAGGTCCTCTGGTGTGAGCTACACTAGTGGGGTCTGACGTGACACAACCCTCCTGCTGATGGAGAGTTGCTCTGAGGGGAACACTCAGACTCTGACGGGAGCGTTTGGGTGGACGGATGTAACAGAAACACTTTAGCCTGACTTCAGCTTCGATTCCAGCTTCTCAGGAGGGTCTCACAGGCTTTACTCCAACATTCACATTCTCTCCCCTCCTCCAGTGCTGTTTTATTTTTCACTCCAGGATAAAAGCAATCAGCACTAAACAGTAGGTTGAGGGTAAGCCACTGGGGTTCTCAATAAGTAGCTATTGACTGATCAATGACTGCAATTTAACTCCAAAGTCTAGAGTAAATGTTGCTCGAGAGAAGCAGCGACAGATTGTCGAAGATCAGGGTAATCAATGGCGCACTTTGAAAGCTCCTCCGTCATTTTACACAGCGTTGTTAATTACAGCTTCTGAACAACAGGAACACAATCATCATGCTCACTGGAGAGGCTCCCAGCGGCGTTTGAACCGAACTTGATTTTACACACAGAAATAAAGACCCAGCCCCCGACAGCAGAGGAAAAACCCACGGTGCAGATGTGAAGGGACACCTGGTCGGCGCCGAAGTTGTGTTTTTCTACCATGAACAGACTTTTGCTCAAACAGACACAAAGATTTAGACGTAGAGAAATAAACTTCATCTTGGCTCGAGTCGCAGCTCGACTGAAGGATAACTTTGGCATTTATGATGTTTGTTTTGTTCTGTATTCAAGTTTTGAAGTTTTTTTTTATCATGAACAAATTATAAGTGTCAGTTTTCTTTTTTAAACATGGCAATGATGCATATTATGAAGGTCAAAATAACAAAACAGTCAATCTTTTCAACTATTTGTATGTATCTCGCTGCTTTATCCACGTAAATCCCGTTTTCTGATTCAGTCTGCTTGAGCTTTCGGCTTGAGCTGCTTGATTATGAAATAGATTTAAATCTTCCTAGGATCCTGCATTACCTAAAGAAGAAATCGACCCTTTGCACTGAGTTCAGCTTAAACCTGTTTTTGTCACGGTGTAGGAGGTGAGATGATGGACCATGAGTGGTTGAGCTGAGCAGGAGGTAAAAATGCAGGCTTCAGTAAAAGTAAAAATGGTTTAATGGCAGGATGGGATGAACAGGAACACCAGCAAACAGCAACAATGAACTGACAAAGGACAGGGGCAAAACAGGTGGTTTAAATACAGAGGGCTAATTAGGGAAACATGGGCAGGTTAACGAGGGACAGGTGAGAACAATAAGGGTAATCATGGCAGGAGAGGAACACAGTCAGGCGGGCAGGGGCAGATCGTGACAGTTTTATTATTTATGAAAACAAGGTTTTCTTGAATTTTCACTATTAATTTAAACAAATGGACAATTTTTCACTATTTTTTTATTTAAACAAAAATAGTCTTTTGTAATATTTTTGAATTCCTGCTAATCCAAAATAGCTACTGAAATTAGGATTTTATAGCAAACATGTTTTTTTAAAAGGCTCTCAGGAGAATATTGAAATCATGACCATTTAGCCTGATTTATCACCGAGTTGGGAAACACACTGCATTTGTTCCTGCTCTTCAGATAAAAGCACTTCAGAAATTCTGCAGCGAAGCGCTTCAAATCCAGGGATTAAAGGAGAGCACTAAATGTATTAATGTGTTTTGGTCACAAACAGCACCTTGAGGTGAGAGGTGCTATAGAAAAGATCCTTTTTCTTTCTTTCAGGGCTGAAAGTTGAGAGATAACATTTTTAGGAGACTGCAGACACCAGATGTGTCTGCAGAAGGCAGAGTTGAGCAATTTAGGGGTGAAACGACAGAGAGACAGTGCTTTAGCTCAGTTAAATTAAAACAATAACTGCTATGGATGTTAAAGAGCAAGTCACCCCCCTACCAGTATAACTCCACTCCCACTTCCTGTTTGAAAAATGCAACAAATGCTGTTGCCTAGCAGACCGAGAGGGCGGAGCCGCTAACAAATACACACACACACAGGCTCACAACGACATTGTGACATCATATGGTACCAGCTAACTTTCTAGGGTACCTCTTAGCCAATAGCGAAGGCAGATTTAAATTCAAATGCAGTGCAGAGTTTTTACCTGACAACGGCACAACACTGACAGTTTTAGGCAGAAAATTTAAATCTTAACAAAAATGCACTAAAGTACAAAACTATTGACGACACGTGTCTGCAGCACGATTAGACACTCGTTTATTTAGTTTATCAGCAAAAAAAAGTTTATTTGGGGGTGACTTGCTCTTTAAGAAGTGGAGAAACAACACTGGTCAGTGTCCCAGGGATTGATGTCATGTAACACTTGAGACTAATCATTGGGTGGGGTGGAAGTGTGCATCATTCATAATATGTTTAAATGACTTAAATAATAATAATTTGTCAGTAGCGTCACTCACATGACAGCTAGGAGCCAACATCAAATTTGAGTTTGATTTAGATTCATTGCGTGGCTCAACCTTCCTCCTGAAACAGATTCATTGGATGTGCTGCTGCAACAGTTTTTTAAACACCGTCAAAAGAAATAGCTGCTGGAAAATAGTTGCTCTGTTTAAAATCATCCTACGCATCTCATGCAAATAAAACAACATCGACATGAAGAAAAAGGTGTGGATTTTTTAAAAAGGATGCTCCACTCGAAGAAACGGAAGATAATAGAAGCTAATGTGATGAGGATCATTGCATAACGGGTGTGATTATCTATGTATTTCCAGTAAATATACTAATGCAGTAAAAGTTCTTCCTTGTTCCATCAGTTTAAGCTTCCGATGGAAAATGAAAATGATTCATGCACGATGGGAGTAGATGAGGCAAACGTATACTGGATGGTAAATAAATGGGAAATATGCAGTTTGTAAGATAAAAATGCTCTAAAGGTATTTGGCAATTAACGTTTTCTTTGGGGTTGGTGAGGAATGTCAAATTTAAGCTAAAGAAAACTTTGAGGTCCATTTTCTGTGGTGTCATGTAGGAGGGAACGCTAGCGAATGCAACAGCAGATTTTTCTGATCATTCTGTCACAGTTCTAATGCAGAACCTCAAGCTGGGAGAACATTAACGGACCCTGAGAAAACTGGTCTGGTCACCGATGTGCCTGAATCTAAAACACGGTAAAATACACGTGTTCACATTTTCTGAAACCATTTACACTTGCTTGGTGTAAAGAAAGAAAAACAAACAAGTGATGGTGTCAGTGACCATCAACACACCTGCAGAGGAGGCTTCTACAGCATGTGTCAATGCCCACACGCTCATGAAGTCTCTCAAATGGACTCTTATGTGCTGTAGCAGGAAAGCCTCTTCAGCTACAGCACATATTTAATTCAACTGATCAAAGTCGTGCATCAATCAAAGTTCCCCTCCTCGCCTCTTCACTGAGCACGGCGCGCTGTGCTTTGCAGGTCTGAGGGCCTGGATCAAAATGAGGGTGGCTACATTCGACGAGAGAAATGGGTTAGCAGCTGCATGCATTCATTCGGCCTTCTGGAATTATTTCTCCCTCATCCGGTTTCATTGAGGAAGTCCCAAGGAAAGTCACAAACACTCAGACCTGTGGTTTAAACCTTCAGCTGCAGTTCAGAAGGTCCTACAGCAATGTTTTGTTTCGTTTTTTTACCACCGGAGATAGCTCTTTGAGCCTCAAAATAGTTTATGAAACTTTTGAGGGGCTCACGTTGGCCAAGGAGCCATGATAATTGGCCAAACACAACCCTGTAATAAAGCCCTAAAGGGAAAGACTGGTTTGCCCCGCCCACTCGGCCAGGACATGAATATTAAATGAACTTCGTGTTGATTTGCTGATAACCTCGGTTAACTCTGTGACCTCTGTGTGAAGCTACAGTATGTGAAGGTCCTTGAGACGACTCTTGTCGTGATTTGGCGCTTTATAAACAAACGGAATTGAACTGAAACGGGTAAATGTGGTTTGGGTTTCCCGAAACCACTGGGATGATCTAACGTTGCCGTGTTGGAATCTGAAACAGAATGTGTACAAAGCTGCAGTTGCGTTCCTCAGCATGAGAACAACACACACACACACACACACACACACACACACACACACACACACACACACACACACACACACACACACACACACACACACAAATGCACAGACAAGAACAGTAACTTATATTGAGATGACAGAGCTCTGCGGGACAGATTTAGCACGTTATCTTTGTTACTCCGAATCTGTTCAGGTTGGAGCGTCTGTACGTTTTGCTTTTACCTTTCCAGCATCAGCATTGTGGTCCGCCACAGGCTTTTTTACCAGCACTTTCTCATTATCCGGGCTCAGCTGGGTGGACGTGTCAGTTCCCACGCCGAGGTCCCTGGAAGTCACAAACAATTTTCTGTCAGGTGTGTGAACTCTCGTCTTGTGCAAACTAGCCTTTCATGTCAGTTTAAAACCCTGGTAGAAGAAGGTGCACGCATGCACGTGCACACACACCCGTATTAAACTGTTTTTGCATATTTTTAAAACCGTGCATGCACCGGTGCGTCAAATCAGGAAACCCTGCACAGTGTCAGGATCTGCTCACCCACGTAGAATCTTCTCTGCTCAAGATTTTGTAGGAGCATAGAAGTATTTGATGCTGCACTTACAGTACTTGTATTCGACTACTTTTTACCCAAAATACCACATTAAGCTTCATGCAAAAAGAGGGACAATGAAAAGCACTAAAACCTTAAAGCAGGAGATCCAAAATGTATTTCTGATGTGAAGGCAAACAATCTTCAAACTCTTTAGAACAAAAGTGTAAAAAGAACTTCACGGCAGAAAAACAAAAGCACCAACTGTCAGATTTGAACCTGAGATCTCCCTAAACGCTGAATAGAAACGGCTCGGGGGAGATCTGAGAGCTGCTTCTGCGGTGAACCACAAACTAATCTCACTGAATCCCTCCAATCGAAAACGCCCACACACATTTCGCCTCCCACTTTCTTTCACACTCCCCCCCCCCCCAGCACGTGTCCATGCTAATTGTAAATCCTCATAGGCATCGTTTTTCCCTTTCACACTCTCGTCACTTTGCATCTCTATTGCCACAGTTTGGAGGAGCATATTCATCCTGAATCCATTCTTCGCCACCGACGTAGGGAGAAGTGGAACAAACACAAACCGTTCTTTTTTCTTCTAATTGACGTACTTTGCAGAAAGAATCAGAGCAGCTGAACTGTGCACAACCTCCGAATAAAGTTTCATTCTAAAAAGTCATTTAGTTCAAATGTCTCTCGTCGTTTTTAAGGAATTGGTCAAAAGCGTCTCTTTTTTACAGAGCAGGCAGAATCCCGTTGGACTGGTTAATGTGTGACGAAGCGCCGAATAAAATAAAACTAAACAGTTTATGTTTAATCGGTTAATAGACCATTCCTGAAGAATGTTGATTAAAAGGGTTTAAAGTACATGAAAGTTAAACCATGCATCAGTTTCATTCTAGCAGCATGCGGCTGGCCATTTCAAACTGAGAAGGTAGAAAACACTGGACCAGAGGAATGTGGTCGTCTCCGTCAACTTGGATGTTTTACGGCAGTTATTTGTGTTTCTTTGGTCATCTGAGCTGCTGTTGACTTTTGCACAGACTGAAAAAACAAACAAACAAACCCTCTAGCTGACGTGACCACCTCTTGGTTGACAACATTTCAGTTTCGTTTAGTAAAAGCATGCACTCAAAAAAACTGGATAACAAAACAACTATGTAGCTAAAAAGAAAAATAATTGTAGTATTTTTAAATTTTATCTTTTTAGCATACATTATTAACCCTTCCATTGCCTAATGGTCACTGCAGTGGACAGCTATGGGTAGTTGTGTGTTTTTTTGTTTGTCTGTTGCTATTAAGCACAGCTGTTGAAGACTTCGTTGCATTTGAGCCTCCCCATTGGACTCTAGTAAGCCAAGCCAACGTGTTTCATGTTCATAATGCACGCTGTCCCCATGTGATAAATTATTAGTAAATAAAATGATGAAAAAAATAGTAGATTTCCTAATTAATGCATGGAAGGGTTAATAAATACATAAATACATATATTTTTTGTCATTTAGCAAACCAAATGAAAAAAGCTAAACAATATTTTAAATCGGTGTTTGTTTTGGTATCAGTTAAAATAGATAAACATTAAATTAAAAATAAAACCTTTAATCAAGTCACTCGTTGTCTGGACTAGGCTAGCTACATCAGACGTCTGGAGCAATAGTTTGTTCATACGTAAATAACAAGTGAATTACCGATAAAAAAAAAGGAATTTGCTGCAAAATATAAAAAGATGCAACAACAAAGTCAACAAACAGTCAACAAGATGACCAAGAAAAACATATCTGCACCTAATCACATTTGCTGCATTTGATAATAAATGGGAATTTCCATAACCAGACAAGCAAGAATAAACGTAACAGAACTTTACTGCTACCAAGAAACGTGAGCAGAGCTTAACTCTAACCAGAAAATGCATAATCAGCTCAACAGGTTCAAGCCTAAAATATGGAGTTAGTTTGTTGAAAAGGCCAAATTGTTTTTGTTTTATTTGGCAGACGCTTTTATCCAAAGCGACATACAATTGTTAACCTATAGGGCATGTTGTGATCTGTGGGGGAAACCAAAGCACCCGGAGGAAACCCACGCGTGTGTAACCGTTTACATCTTACTTATGAACCATAAGATGTGAGATCCCATAGAAATATGAAATATCAATCTGATGGATCTTTGAATATTTTAACCAGAAGATCAGAACTTTTTATTGCAGGGATTAAGCGACACTTCGTATTAACTCAGAGGAAAGAGAGAGAGTCAGGTTTATAATAGTTAAGAAATTTATTTCTACACAATTTAAACGAGACTAACTTTAACGCTCTGTGTACTGATGGACTAACGTGGAGTGAGATGTGATGAATGATGATCGTGAGTGGAATGTTATCAGAACCTCGTATCCGGAGAAGCAGTTGGTTCTGAGTGGGAGTGAACGTTTCGCTCTAAATGTTAGTAGGAGGTTTATAACACACATGAAACGCCATCTGTCGGTCTACGTACTTCAGGGGAAGCCTCCGTTAGATCCAGAATGTCGAGGTCCTCTTGGACCCTCCTGGGTACCGAAGCCTGTAGAAAAGCAGCGGCGCCGACCAAACTAGTCTTGGAATGCTCCCAGGTCACGACAGGTTATTATTGGCGTCTCCGAGACCCTGAAGGGGTCGTGAGGTTCAGCTTTTATTCTGAAGGAACCGTTGCGGTCAGGTGTAAGGTGCAACAGATTTTATCCAGCTTGTCGAGGTTCTTTTGGCTGAAGAGGAAGTCCGGATGGCCGGTCCGAGACTTCTCTAGAACGCTTGAACTAAAGAAAAGGTGGCGTGGGATAGTTTCTATAATTGTCATATTTTGGTTTACTGGCGAATCAGAATTTGACATGAAAAAGAGGGTTTATACAAACACCACAGAAAACCACACCTAGCCCCAGGAACGAAGGTTCTGATTGGATCAGACAAAAGGAAATGTGTCGTGTGACTTTAGCGTTACGTGTCATCAGTGTCTGGTGCAAATGTCCAGGATTATAATAACTTGTAAAGTACTGCTGATCACAGGATTATAATATCAAGTACTAACATTGTCATTTCACAGACTGATTGAACATTGGGCTCACATTATTATTGGTAATAACAAACATTGTTTGATTATATATTTATCAAGAGAGTTCTTCGTCTTGAGCTGTAACAGAGGTGAAGCAGTTCAGATGAGCAGAGTGCATGAAAGACCTTGGCCACTATCTCATGTAGATTAGACTTTATGTCTCTGCTCGAGCAGACGCAGCAGATCATGACCTTTAGGTCAGAAACATGACATTCGTGACGTTACACATGCGTGGGAAGAACATGCAACTCCACGCAGAAAGGCCGCAGCCGAGTTTCGAACCTGCAGCCTTCTTTATGTGAGGCAACAGTACTAAAACTGCCCCCACGCTTCCCAAATTGTTCC